TTCTGGCCCTTTTCTGTGGGTCCCCACTGGAAGATGCTGTAGACTTGTGGCAGGCTTTGGGGCCTTGCTCTGGGCCAATCCCATTTGGATGGACTTTTACCCACGAGGGGACGGGTAACTTTGGGTGCTTCATTTAGAAACTAGACTCTTTGCCTTACCTGTATTGTTTCCTAGTTTTATTAAAGTTCCTTCCCATTAAAGTCTTTTATGTTTTGTATTGATGCGGCGGATGGCAGAACCCATTTAGAATAGGCAGGTTTGCGGGGTTTGGGCTGCCCCTCTCCCTGCCCTATAACAACCAGATTAATAAAGACATCAAGTTGCTATGTTATGAAATATAATAATCATCATTACTCTACACTCGAATGATAACCATGTCTAATATCTATGAAGTTTTCATTAGATTCCAAAAACCATGTTAAGCTTTTCATACCCCAGGAAAAATATGTTGTTTTTGTCTGCCCAGCATTCACTCTCCATTCCTAGTTAAAGTGCCCTCTTTTTACAGAAGAAGAGAGGGAGAAAATTTAGAGACATAATGCTGAAAACCTCCCAAATTTGGGGAAATATTTAGACATCCAAGTTCATGAAGCTCATAGGTGCTCAAACAAGTTACCAAATGAAACTTCTCCAGAACCCATCAGAATGAAAATGGCAAGAATCAAAAACAAAGAGAAATTTTTTAAAAGAGGTAAGAAACAAAAATTCCCCAAATAAAGGGGAACCCCCATAACGCTCTCGTCGATTTCTTAGCAGAAATACTACAGGCCAAGAAAAAGCAGGCTGATATACTCAAAGTGCTGAAACAAAATAACTACAACCAAGAATACTTTACCTAGCAAAGTGGTCCTTCAGAAATGACAAACAGTGTAAAGAAGCTTCCTCAAACAAATGAGAGGGAGTATAGCACCACAGAACCTATCTTTCTTACAAGAAATGCTGAAATGAAAGGATGCTGATTACAAATCATAACATGAAAATATAAAACACAGTAAAGTTAAGTATATAAGCAAAGTCTGAGTACTCTAATACTGTAATGTATGGTCTGTTAATCACTTAACTTGAGCAGAAAGGATTGAAAGACAGCAGTATTTAAAAAAAAATCACTATAATAATTTGTTAGTGGATATACAATATAAAAAGATGTAAAATGTGACATCAAAAACATAATGGGCAAGGGGAGGAAAAAGGGTAGTTCATATGCAATTAAAGATGTTATTACCTTAAAACAGATTATCATAACTCTAAGATTTATATGAGCTTCATGGTAAACACAAAGCAAAAATCTGCAATCAATATACAAAAGAAAAGAAGGAAATCAAAGGAAGGTCTGGCTAATAAAGACACACGCTGGCTGGTGTGTTGGTGGCGTTTACAGAAGCTAGAAAAGCAGCCAGGTGCTTGGAAGTAATGAGTCTCTACCCATTTGCAAGGGCATGAGTTTACTGACCAATTAGATTTCTATGAAAATGAAATGGAAAATCTAGAATGACTTCCAAGTTTCTGATGTCGTCCCTTGGGAACATTGGCTACGTTCCTGCAAAAGCAGCAAGTCTGGGAGGAAAATGGCAAATTCAATTCCATCCTGCCGTACCTGAGATGTTTATGGAATATAGAACATCCAGGTGGATGTCAGATCTAGAATTCTAGAAAGAGTTTTAGGCCTAAGATATTTTAATAAAGCTTATCATCAAAAAACAGATTATGCATGAATGCAGATACTCCAGGCAGAACTCTTAGCTCATGGTGGTTAGCCTCAATTTCCCACAGAAATCAATTTTCTCCCTCTAACCCGCGACAAGCTACACCCAGTTTCCAAGAGAGTGCCTTCAATAAGGACAAGGAAACGCACGGTTTGGGGATTGTAGTGCCTACTGACACAAGGATGACAGTTAACTTACACTCAATTTGATACTCAAATTGACTCATTTTTGTCTGGAACTGTTAGGGGGAAAAGGATGTCCTAAAGCTAATTCCATACAGGCTTTGTGGACTCCACCCCCAGCCCAGGCCAAAGCCAAAGACACTGGGAACTCCAAATCCCATCACCACCAAAGGGAAGGTAGCTGGGACCTGAGGATGGGGTTAAGCAGCCAAGTTGATATAAAAGGCAGACACGTGGGCTTTGGGGGGGTTCCCCCATTTTGGCTCTCCGCCAGCTCGTCCAGCCAGCTCTGAGAGTGCCTTTGGGTTTCCAGGTCAGCGGATCGGGTAGGACGCATTAAAGACTTTATTTCCCTATTTTCTCCCTGAGTTGTACATTTTCCTTATTTCCTTTTCCCTTGTAAATAAACCTTTTATGAACCTTTTGTGTGTGCCTGTAGTGGAGTATTCATAAGTCCCTTTTAAGCGCGCGGGTGAGGACCCACAGCCAGGAACCCGTTCAATATCAGGGCTGCTCTATAACAGAACTAGCCTTCCCTCACGAGCCTCGGCATGCTGGTTAAACATGGGGGAAATAACGTTTTCAAAACCAAATTAGTTTAATATAAACAATCCCTTTAAAATAACTTCCATCATTTAGCTGGTGTTGTCCTTTCCCTCCCTCCTCTCCCTAAGAAGGATCACTGGAGTACAGGGAGAAGAGGTAGGGTTCACATGTTTCCTTGGTGGCAAAGGAGGTAAGGGGTCTAGTACTCATGCTGATCCTTGGATGTTCTCTGACCAGCGCCTCTTCTATCCTGGTGATGGGAGGCCTTGCTGGCCTCTACAGTCTAGTCCATGATTGGAGTACTTGGGACCCTTTCTTGAGGCAAGGCTGCCTTGAGAGAATTCCCAGGCCAATCAACCTCACCACAGCAACTCTGTGACTGTGGGCTGGCTCAGGCAGGGATCCATGCCTCCCACCCCTCTGCAGTCATTTCCTCTTATTATTTGTGTGTCTTGTCCATGCCACGCCAAACAAACCAGAGCCAGTGGTAGGTCAGGCAGTCAAGCCTGAAAGCTTTCATTCCATTTCCCTCCCTGTATTGTCTTATCAGTGCAACAGTGCCCAAGTCGACATGGGGCAATCTAAGGTCTTCCTGACTTGAAAACAAACAACAACTGCTTCCTGCCTCTAGTACCCGACGCATCCAATAGACCTCCCACTCTCTGAGACTAGAAAGAAGGGAAAACTGAAACACTCACATCTGACCACCTTGCTCGTCTTCTTCCTTCACTGTGCTTGAGAAGAAAAGGAGTGAGTTTTTCTGTTACCTCCCTTATCTCTTATCTTTGTTCTTCCTGACTCTGGCTAAGCCTCCATGGTGAGCAGGGCATTTCTGAGCACCCCCCCCCCCCCAGGCTAGGATGGAAACAAGGAGAATGAAAAGATTTAGAAAAGTATCTCTCAGCACAATCCCCTGGCTTGCGAAACTATTAATTCAATAAATAACCTTGTCTGGGGTATATGATGGTAAACACTACCTCTTTCTCTCTGATTTACATCTACTTGACCTATACCCTCCTCACAGAAAGAAGCTGCCCCAAAACTAGAGCAAATGTCTTATGCAGGAAACGCAAAAAACGGGAAGGACCAGGACCTCCCTGGTGGTGTGAGGGGTTAAGCACAACACTGTGAAACTATCTGCAGCCTCTTCAGCATGAGTTTGATCCCAGGTCAGCCAGGGGGCTACCCACATGCGCAGCAGACCTGTCCTGTCTCACCCACTACTCCCCTCAGCAGTGTATTTCAGTCAATCCACCTGTTCTGTTCCCCAGTTGTCTCTGGTGAATCCTCTCACCTCCCACACCTCTGGCCTATAACCCAGAGTTTTTGTTGTTGTTGTTGTTGCTTTTTTTAAAGATTTATTTATTTTTATACAAGAGCTGGGGTACAGGCCAGAGGCACTGCACGGTGAGAGGATTCACCAGAGAAAGAACAGGGAACAGAACAGGCAGAAAGACCAAAACACACTGCTGAGGGGAGCAGCGGACGAGGCAGGAGAGGTCTGCCGTGCCATGTGGGCATCTCCGTGGCCGGCCGGGAATCGAACAGGCGCTGCAGCGGCTGCAGACAGCTTCACAACCGCTGCGCGCCGCCGGGGAGGTCCAACTCCAGTTCTTGTATGCATAAATAATTTTAAAAAAAACAAAGTCCTTGTCACTCACATTTCCCCCTATTACCCTTCCTTTTTCTCTTTCCTGACGAAATATCAAAATATATTTCCTTAGTGCCTTCCAGCTTTTCTTCAACTCTTAGGTGGTTTTGTTTGTTTGTTTAAAAATCAACCTCTAGGCACAAATTACATTCTTCTAGCCCCAATTAAGCGGCAAGCATAAAGTCAGGTGGGAATGTATAAAAACTGCTTGAACCAACCAACTGTGAACCAGACACACACTATGGGGGTGGGGGGCGCAAAGGAGGGGTTGGGGTCAAAATAAGGGGGTTGCAATTTTATGGGGAATATAAAAATAAAATTTAAAAAATAAATAAACTTTTAAAGTAAAAAATAAATAAACCGCTTGATAAGCGAAAAAAGTGCCCACAGTAAAGATTAAGAGAACAGTTCCCTACGATAACGATGAGCTAAATTACCAAATCTTTTTCAAGGACGTGCTCTAGTGTGAGGGATTGAAAGTCAGTTCCTCTCAGAAATTCTGGAGGATTTTTGACTTGAGGCAAAGATGAACGTTTCCTGGGCCTCAGAACCTGTAATATTCTATTTGTATAATATTTGTCAAAAATCACGTAACTTTTTCTTCAGTGTTTTCCCCACAGAGCTCAAACGGGGGGGGGGGAGGGGGCGGGCGTGTGAGAAGGAACTAAAGCAACAAGCCGTGGCCAACCACCGCTGGACGACCAACACCAGGACGACCAACACCGGGACGCCAACCTTTCTCAGTATCGTCTTCGCTTGGCTTTCGCGACCAGGAAAGCTCGTAGCCAGTCACTTAAGGCGGCCCCGCCTCCTCCAGCCTTTTCCCGCCTCAAGATGGCGGCCGGAGCGACAGTGCGAGCACAGCGCGCGCGGCACTCTGGGAGCGGAAGTGGGGCCCTCACGGCAGCGGCTGAGCCGGAAGAGGAGGAGCGGGGCCCGGAGGATCCGCCAGAGTCGCTGCGGCCGCGGCTGCCGGTGTTTGCGGGTCGCGGGGAGCCGGGCGTGGCGGGCGGGGAGTGTCGCGATGCCGGAACTGGCGGTGCAGAAGGTGGTGGTCCACCCCCTGGTGCTGCTCAGTGTGGTGGATCATTTCAATCGGTGAGCGGGCGGCGCGGGGAGGCCTAGCGGGGCTGGCTGCTGAGTCACGGGCACGCTGCGGCTGGCGAAGCGGCCGCGGGGGCGCTGATGGGCTGGGGGCGGCCCTGGCTCGCCGAGGGGCCCAGGCTAGCCGCGCCTTCCAGAGCCCAGTCGCCTCGCTTCGTCCCCACGCTTCATCACCCCCTGCCCCAGCCGGCACTCCGCCGCCTGAGCTGCACCCTCCTCCCACCCAAGTCCTTTGAACACCAGAATGTGGGGAGCAAGCTTCAGTTGGCCCTGTTCCCCCCTTTTCCCGGGCCTCGTGTCCACCTGTCACCTCGTCCGCGCCTTTTCACCTCAAAAAGGCGGAATCTGGTCTGGAAGCCCTTCAGATTCGAGCTTCTGTGCCTCTGAGGCTGTCACCAAGATTCTGGGCTCAGCGCCCTAAAGGGTTCGCGGGAAGAGCTCTGGTTTTGACTTGTGAACGTTTCTAAGCTGGAATTTGCTTTGAGGATAGCTTAAGGTGTAAAGGAAGCGTCCAGTTTTTACTTTAAAAATGACAGCAGTTGGAGATTTGGGCATTAGTGAATAAGATAACATCCGACAGATCGCCTGGCTCGCCTCATTGTTTGAGGGTGGCCTTCCGCCGCCCCTTGCTGTTTTCGAGCTGTTCGTCTTGCTGAACCTGTTACACGTGTTTCCAAGTTTTACAAGATAATTTGAGTTGGCAAATGTAAAGGCCTATTTGGGAGCATCTACTGTAAAGTCATAGTTGCTATATGCCCGTTCTTCTGCAACTTGCTTTGTACAACTCTAATTTCCAAGAGCTAAAGACAAACTGATTCCCTTAGGCTCAGGGTCCCCAGTTGAGTTCCATTGCTTTTACTGACCTCAGCCCAACAGGATGGGAAGCCACTTTCACTGTACAGTAATTACTCTTTTTCTCCCATTGATTAGGAGAGGTGCTAATGGGGCAGGCACCATTTCAGTTTCTGTTCAGTAAACTCAACCAACACCTGTTAAGGACACAGCAAGCAGACACTGCAAGCTGCTGTGGCAGATAACAAATGCAGGGTTTTTAGAAAGACAAATGGATGTTGTAGACCATTAGAAAAGCCCATGGTTATGGATGTTTCCTTTGAAGTGTGGAATTCAGTCCCTAAGATTTCCCCAAACATTAAAACCACCAGAATCCTTAACTTCGATTCAAACCCTGAATTTGGTTGGTATTTTTAAATTTTTCAAACTGGGTTTAGAGAAAATACACAAATTAAGCAATGTGGAACCCTTGGCTGAAGGTTGTAGTTTATTTCCTGGTGGCCTTTTGTCTTTCCTTGGAACATAGATTGTGTCTATCTCACATTTGCTAGTAGCCAAAGGAAAATTCTACATGAAGAGCAATGAAATGAAGTGAAACACTTTTCACTCCTTAGGACAAAAATCGCTTAAGTTTGGAGATTAAAATTCTGAAGTAGTTAAGCTACTTTTCACTCATTCAGCCTTCCTTAGTGTGATTAGTCATCAGCACACTGATGGCTTCAGTCTAAAGTAGCCCCTCAGAGACTGCAAATGACCCATGCTTGCCTGTAGTCAGAATTACTTTGTACCCTAGATGGTACAAAGAACCACATCTAGTGGAGCTAGTCAGCATGGGATGTTCGGGAGAAGAGCTGCGTGCCAGACCATAAAGTTGGTTCTACTTTAGTATTTTTAGCCCTAAATAGATTTGAAGATAGAGAAGTTGGGGAAAGTTTAAAGAAGAAAGATAGGGCCTTTCCAGTGGCACTGCAGTTGAGCGCTGGGTTGCGAAGCTGCCCGCAGCCTCTGCAGCACTGGTTCGATCCCTGGCTGCTCCCCGGCCACCAGAGGAGGGTCCCACATGGTGCGCAGACCTCTCCTGCCACCCGCTGCTCACCTCAGCAGTGTACTTCCGTCCTTCTGCCTGCTCTGCTCCCTGCTCTGGCTCTGGTGAATTCTCTCACCCGCCCATGCTTCTGACTGTACCCAGTGCTTGTATAAATAAATAAATAAATCTTTAAAAAATAAAATAAAATAAGAAAGATAAACTGAAGGGAGGAAAAAAATGTGAAATGTGGCAACATTGTGTTTTTCAAATACTAACCAAATAACATTTTAAAACTCTATACTGAGCTTACATTTTCTCCATTTTAAATTTCTGTGAAGTTTGAGATTCTTCCAAGTGTGAATGACTTTGCAGTCAGTTATGACCAAAAATTGCCAATGTACAAAGTTCATGAGTTGCTCATTTATCAGAATATAATATTAAGGACTACTCCAACTCTTCTATTTCCCTGGTGGGATTAGGTCCCAGTAAGCTGAATTGATTCTGTACCATACATATTCCCCAAGTAGCTAATTATTGGGTCCACATCAGACTAACTTACGCTTTCTCATTCAGAATAGGCAAGGTTGGAAATCAGAAGCGTGTTGTTGGTGTGCTTTTGGGGTCATGGCAAAAGAAAGTACTTGATGTATCCAACAGTTTTGCAGGTAAGACACATTTTACATTTATCAGACCATGGTTAAAATACCATTTAAGTTTGTGGGGTTTTTTTGTTTGTTTGTTTGTTTTAAAAAGGGAAGAAACTTCAGTAGTTTCCATTTTTAGTACACCCAAAGATTGTACTTCTGAATTACTTAAGTATAGAAAAGAGAAGCTAAAGGCTACACACTAAGCAGGATAGTAAATATTTTAAATATACAGGCCATGCGGTCTCTGTTGCAGCTGCTCAGCTCTGTTGTTATAGCACAAAGGCAACTATAGATATAAGTAGACAAATAAGGAGCTATGCTCTAGTTACAATTTATAAAAATAGGCAATTGGTCTATTTGGTAACCTTTGCACTAAACTGTTAACCATGCTTCTGGGTAGGCAAAGGGGAATGGAAAACATTTCTCCTGTACTCTTGATTTCCTGAATCTATAAGAAAATATCCATGTATTTTATGATTAAAACAATAGCATCAGAGAACAAATTAATTGCTGAGATGACCTTTGAACTATCAGTCACTAACTCCAGTATCTGAAAGGACTAAGCAGTAATATAATCTGCCAGCTGGGAAATAGGAAGTAATGGGACTTTCTGAAAACTGAAAAACGTGTGTATCCTTTTTTAAAGTAGCATCCTCTACCTGACTGGCCAGTTGTTGCCAGGTCTTCCAGTTTTTTTCAGGAGAAGCTGGAAGTCTATGTGATTTAGCCTGGATTTCTATGTGAAATCCAGTTCTTTTTTTTTTTGTTTTTTTTTTTTGTTTTTTTTCCTTAAGCTTAGATTTTCTTTAGCAGTGGCTTTTTATTTTTTAAAGATTTATTTATTTATTTATACAAGCACTGGGTACAGTTAGAAGCGTGGGAGGGTAAGAGAACTCACCAGAGCCAGAGCAGGGAACAGAACAGGCAGAAGGACCGAAGTACACTGCTGAGGGGAGCAGCAGGCGGCAGGAGAGGTCTGCGCACCATGTGGGAACCTCGCCGGCAGCCGGGGATCAAACCGGCGATGCAGAGGCCGCAGGCAGCCTCGCTGCCCACCGCTGCACCACCAGGGGAGGCCCTCTCCCAGTTTTTAAATGAACAACTGAAAATAATTTTAATACCATATTGAATAAATAAAACACTGCAGAAATTAGATCTGCCTACTGGTCTCTAGTTTTGACCTGTGCTCTGAGGTGCTATCAAGTACCCTAAACTAAATCTTTTGTTTTTTCCTTCCCTTTAGTCCCTTTTGATGAAGATGACAAAGATGATTCTGTCTGGTTTTTAGACCATGATTATTTGGAAAACATGTATGGAATGTTTAAGAAAGTCAATGGTATGTCTTGATTTTTTAAGAAGTTGTGTTGATTTCTGTATCTTGTGTGTGATACATCTAAATATTTCTCTGTTTAATGTCAAGAGCTCTTTCACCTAACTAGTGCTAAGAAAGGAATGAGGTAAAATAAATGAAAAACTAGAGTCGCAATTTAACGCCAATAAGACATAAGGAGCCTGCTAGCTCTCTGCCCAGAGAAGTGGAGAGCTAGCAAATAAAATCTACCTGCCTCTAGGGCTTTGGTACCACCAGGGTAAACATCCCTCTCTGTCACATATAACATTTTCATTTTATTTCATTACAGCAACATTGCTTTGGAAATGTTTATTCCCTCGACACTCACAGTTGCAATCTATGTGACATGAACTTGCATTTGTTTATATATTGCCTTGGAATTGTTTTCTAGTTGTTTCATGTATAAATGGTCTCCTAAAGTAGTCTAAAATAAGGATATATCTGGATTTCCCACACTCCTTATTTTCTGAGACTTCTAGTTTTGGGTTTTAGATTTCTTTCTTAAGTGTATTAAGAATTTTAAAGTGTGCTAGAATTTTTAAAAGGTAGAGAACATAACCATACCTTTTAGGGGGATTATTTAGGTCTTCATGTAACAATTTAAAGATACTGGGTTTTTTTTTCCTTCCTAGCCAGAGAAAGAATAGTTGGATGGTACCACACGGGCCCTAAACTACACAAGAATGACATCGCCATCAATGAACTCATGAAAAGATACTGCCCCAACTCAGTAAGTGCCCTCTAGCATTAAAATTCTTGAGTGATACTCTTTGCCAGCCAATTCAATTTAGAGCATCCTACGAAGGATTTGGGTAGCAAATCATTTCACCACTTTTTCTCTGTAAATTTAGTGTTATAGTATTTCATGTAGCAGAGTAAGTCACAGGATCCTTAATCTTCTCAATAACTATTTTAGCTTGTTAGCCTTCTTAAAGAGAGAAAACTGAGGTTCAGCATGGTTGGTAAACTCTTAAGAAACTGTGGACTGGAATTAAAATGTGTTTTAACTCAAATTTCCTACACTGTGCTATCTCTCAGCTTGTTGATGGACAGAGCAGATAGTTGCTGCAAAGAGCAGCAATTGATGAGAGCATGTGATTTATAAACTTGTTTTTGCTGAAAATTCTGGTTGAATGAATGAAATAACTAACAGTCTAACAGAGGATGGCTGCATTTATTCCTTACATGCTCACTGTAAAGTGGTTTGCTAAAATGTGTTTTTTGCCAGGTATTGGTCATTATTGACGTGAAGCCAAAGGACCTGGGACTACCCACAGAAGCATATATTTCAGTGGAAGAAGTTCATGACGTAAGTCATTTTGCTAGAAGCAGAAGATTAGATATACTACTTAGCAAGTGATTGAATTTTTTTCTCCTACTTTCAAGTCAACAAACTCTGTATCACTTTAACAAAGAGACGTAATTTTTCTGTCAACTGATATTGTGGTTTTTTTACCTCGAATTGTTGAATCACCAAATTTTAGATGTAGAAAATATCATAAATACCTAAAGTCACCTTTCACAGATGAAATTGAGATGCATAGAAGGTAAATGAGGACCAGGAGTGTTCATGGCAAAGTAAATGCAGTGCCTGGTAGCCCTGACTCATCAATGTGATTTGTACTTAGTCCCATGGTATCTTGTGCTCTGAGTGTAAACATGAATTATAGCTTTCCTCTAGATCCAGTAATACTGAACTCAGATTCTAGGATTTGGTGTGAAATGTATATATGTTTTCTAGTGAATGCAAAATATTTGCACTGAGGGTGAGCAGAGAGTTCAGCCTTGTATTTCCAAAGTCAAAAGCCTGAGGGATTTAATAAGTAGTATTTAATCTTATGTTCGGATTTAAAATCTGGAAGAAGATACTTCAGGTTAGTACCCAGCAAATGTTCCTTGCATTGAGCTCTCCTGTTTATCTTTTTGCCTTGCTACCAAGGGGCATAGATCCAGATTTATTTCCTAGTTGAAATAAGGGTTTTATCATTGGTCTGATACAGTTGTTTTTAAGTTAATTTTTATCCTGCCTCTCTCAAAAAGGAGTATGTGTCTGATGACACACATGCCACCAATGCACAAGATTTTTTTAATAGGGGACATAATGGTCATCTTACAAGTTGAAGCCAGGGAAAAATTAGTACCTGAAAAGGCATGCCAGGAAATTCTGTAATATTGCCAAAGGCTCAGACCCTTCCAGCATATGAGGCAAGATAAAAATGGCATTTACAGCATTCACAATGCCCTGGGTAGAATATTAACAGCTAACATTAACATCACTTACTATAAGTTAAACAACTTTCCCAAAGCTTCCTTATCACATACTGGCAGAGCCAGACTTTGATCCCAGCCAATCTGGCTACAGAGTCTGTCCTCACTGCTATGTAGTCCTGATTCTGCCAGGTATTAGTCCTGATTTACAGATTTTACAAATGTACAGCCTCTCTGCACTAAATCTAAGAAAAGTTACTCCTGAGTCCCATCAGGAAGTCACTAGGAGATAAAATGAACCACATGCCCTAGAGAATCCTTTGATTAATTCAGACCATCAGAAAGCATTGTTTTGGTGTTCTGGTATCATTTGATCCAGTGGACAGTAGATGGTTAAAAGTTGTATTTTCTGACATGAATCTACCTCAACTATAGGTACCCTGTATATTGCCTATTCTAGAAAGAACTAAATAATAATGAACCTAATTGAGACTTCCCTGAGTGTCTGGTCCCCACTGTAGGCCTGTAGAGAATTATCAAGATTTTTCTTCAGAACAAAGCTAATGATAAAGCATCCAGCAGACCTTGTGACTGAACCGGGCCACTGTAATTTTAACTTACAAGACTGAGCTTTCAAAGCAAACCTTACCCACCCTTGCCATGGAAAACCCAGTAATGCTACCTCAGAATAATTTGACTTAAAGAAAAATCAAGGTGTGAAAAGGAATGTGCCAATTTGTAAGTGACTTTATAGTTTTTTACCTGTCACAGGATGGAACTCCGACCTCGAAAACATTTGAGCACGTGACCAGTGAAATTGGAGCAGAGGAAGCGGAGGAAGTTGGAGTTGAACACTTGTTACGGTAAGACCTTGGGATGGCATCGGAATTCAGAGCACCCAAAGACTGCCCTGTATTAAAAAAAAAAGATCAGTAGCAGGAGTATAGCGACCTGGGTTCTAGGCCTGGGTCAGCTCCAAAAATGTCTTGAGTCACAGTTCACACCTGGAAAGTCCACGTGTCTGGAAACTCAATGTAGGAAATAAATGCAGGTGTCTCTTCTTCCATTGGATGTCCTTTTCAGTGACAGGAACAAACCAGTTTTATGCAAAGAAAACAAATCTTGGGATGGGCTTTATTTTAAAATCCTCTACTTACATATTTGGAAATGTCATAGTTTTTCTCAACCAATAAGGTTCCTCCCAGTTTAAAAAGTTACTGCTGATTTAAGTTCAGAACAAGGAAAATGCCTTTTTTAGAAACAAGAAAATTGAGTAGTTGTACAAATTTACCCAGAAACCAGCAGCAGGGTACAGTTGTTGACACAAACTTCTGTTAGAGTTTTGTAAGTAAAACTGTTTTCACTTTATCTCTCACTGTTTAATCATCTTCTAAAAAAAAATGTCCCCTGGTAAAAGATAAAATATATGCCTCCAAATGAAAATGAAATTGAGGCAGTTTATTGTACCCAAATCTTTATAAAACGGAGAAGTAAACTTTTTTTTTTTTTAAGACTTGCTCTTCCCCACTAAGTTGGGGGTTTCCTTAGAATGTGAGGATGCATGTGATATAACAGTAGATTGATGCATCTTCCTGCCCCTTCCTGTTGTGTATTATTACAGAGACATCAAAGACACTACAGTGGGCACTCTTTCCCAGCGGATCACAAACCAGGTCCATGGTTTGAAGGGACTAAACTCCAAGCTTCTGGACATCAGGAGCTACCTGGAGAAAGTGGCCACTGGCAAGCTGCCTATCAACCACCAGATTATCTACCAGCTGCAGGACGTCTTCAACCTGCTGCCAGATGTCAGCCTGCAGGAGTTTGTCAAGGCCTTTTACCTGAAGACAAACGACCAGATGGTGGTGGTGTACTTGGCCTCCCTGATCAGGTCTGTGGTCGCGCTTCACAACCTCATCAACAACAAAATTGCCAACCGGGATGCGGAGAAGAAAGAAGGGCAGGAAAAAGAAGAGAGCAAAAAAGATAGAAAAGATGACAAAGAGAAAGAGAAGGAAAAGAGTGATGTAAAGAAAGAAGAGAAAAAGGAGAAAAAATAAAACATGTAGCCTTTTAATTTGTAAATTAAAATCTTATAAACTAACTCCGTGTGCCGACAAGAGGGTTCTTTCCCTTTCAAGTGCTGTTTAAGCGGCTGTGTCGAGGCACGCTCTGCCTCGCTCTTGCTGCGGCATGACATGGAGTGAAGGATGGAGGGACTCGTGGACCCAAAGTGCAGCCTAGGCTGCTAGCAGCTGGGGATATGATAGCTCAGGCTTCAAATTGTGTGAGAAAAGTGAAGTAGACATAACATTTTTGGTACTCTGCATTCATTTATCCATAAAACCAGGAGTTGAATTTCCCCCATCACCAACGACTCTTAGGTTTCTGGCAGTTCGTAACATTCAGTGGAATGCATGAGTTCTGACCCTCTGAACTCTTTGATACAACACACCCTGGGACTTTGGGGACCCATAATTCTGGCATTCTCAGGACTTGGGTTCCACCTCCATATATTGTTTACCTTCAAAGATACAATTAAATGGCGTGGTTTTTAAGACTGTGTTCTAGTGGTTTTTTACTTTGGGAGGGGCAACCCATTGTTTTCAGAAGCAGCCAAGATAGCATTTAATTGATGCTGCCTTGAATTATTTTAGATTAGGAATTTCTATGAAAGAGCCTCATTCATTCATAAGCAGACAGTCTGCTATAGTGAGAAGCACTCAGCTGAGCCCAGAAGACCTGGGCCCTAGCTCAAGCCTCAGATGCCTCATCTGTGGAGTGCCCAGAGCAGTTTTTCCACAAGGGACACATTCACCAGTTCACCACTGCAGTAGGTCTAAGAAAACCATAAGCGTAGGGGGGATGTTCCTAAGGATGGAATGACGATCCCCCAAAGTTAATATCAGTGCTCCTCTCAACAAATTAGTCAATCACTTGACATTTAATGGTCACTTGGATATTAATTTCTTCAGTAGTTTAAACTCTTAGAGTACTCTAATGGACAGTATAGTCAAAATGTTCAAAGATTGAAGAATACAATGATAAAACCACTAAAACTTGATTCTCAAATCATGTCAAAGTGTTAAAAATACTTCAAAGTTAACAGAAGTTTCAATTTGCATTCCACAACAAACCTGCAAAAAAGAGGTAGTGGAAATTTAGAGGTTAATAGTAAGATTTGTAACTTTTATTCTACCATACCCAGGTCAGGGATCACTTAAAGGTTCATTAGGGTTTAAACATGAGAAAGCGACACCTGAACAACTTTCTGAAGGGAGTAAAAGGAGAGCCAGATGCAATAGTTCTAAGGCTGTAAGCAGAATGTCATCCCAAGGACTGGTTCCGTCACAGAAGTGAGGTGGCAATTTGAGGCCATGCAGGATTCAGGTCTGCCTTCAGCAGTATAATTTGGATTTAAATACTCTCCCAGGGTGTAATGTAATAACACATGCCACAAGCTTTTAAGTTTGTCCCTCTTTGATAAATTGCACTGTTCACTGAGCACCTAAGGACATGGGAATACGCAAGTCTTATTATATTTAATAGTTCAACCCACATGAGCAAAATGGACTTCTACCTTCCTAACAAAATCCTCAATTCCTAATTCTAATGAAAATAGTTCGTAGTCCCTAGAGTCATTGAGCCTAAGTGACTCATTCTAAGGCAGAATTGCTGCTATCCTATATATGAGAATAAGCCTCATAAGGCTATGGACAAAATCTTGCTTACACAAATAGCAGTCAACTTGACTGCAAAACCAATCACCCTCACCTAAAATAAAATCTAGTGTTTGTATAGCCTGGCAAGTGTCAAGATGAGATTTCTATTATTTAGAAAACACTGAAAAAGTAACCTGGAAAAAGTCACCCTAAATTCATAGCAGTAACATTAACTTTCTCCTCTATTTGCAAACACTTCAGAATGAACTATGAGAGACTTCAAGCTGCTCCTGCCACACAGGTCAGAGAGATGATGGCATTTACTCCTTATGGGTTTTCTGTATGATATAACTCACTAAAATCTCCCTGAGTGTACAGGTTGGTTATCCTTAATGTAAAGAGAGAAACTATCAGAACAGGACACCAGGGCCTCCCCGGGTGGCTCAGTGGTTGAGCGCTGGGTTGCGAAGCTGCCCGCAGCCTCTGCAGTGCCGGTTCCATCCCCAGCCCCCAGGCGAGGGTCCCACATGGCACGCAGACCTCTCCTGCCGCTCGCTGCTCCCCTCAGCACTGTACCTCGTCAGTCTGCCTGTTCTGGCTCTGGTGAATTCTCTCACCCTCCTGCGTGTCTGACTGTACCCAGTGCTTCCATAAATAAATAAATAAATCTTTTAAAAAAAAAAAAAAGAATTAAAAAAAAATAGAACAGAACACCAACTTTGGATTGCCTGATTAGTTAAATGTTCTTCGATTTTGCTCAGACCATCAACAAAAGGAAACTGCCGTATTATTTTTCCGATGTGGTAGATGCAAAGAAAACCTCTCCAGCAGAATTAGCAACCCTAGAATCTTACTCCAATTTCTGGAGGACCCTCCAGCTATAACATACTGAAGAGAACTCAACCATACACAATTATTTTCACTTCAAGTAAAAGAATGAAATATCCCATTTAGAGGAAGTTAAGAACAGACCTTTTCTGCCATTTTCCTACAAAAAAATGTAACGCAGAAATACAACGAGAAGAAATTAGGTAGTGTTGTTTATAATACTACAACACTCAAAATGACTTCATCTGCCACTGTCCAGGAAATGAGAAGGAACTGGGGGGCATGTTAGGAAGGCAGAAAAACATTTGTTTCTTGTGACCTACAGGAAAAGATTTTCACAACTACCCATTCCAAATAACTATACTTAATAGAGGCAAGCAATGGTTTGCACCTTTCTACACCATTCAGCTCTCGGCATTGTCACTGCTTGCCTGGAAGCAACAAAGTTCAGACCTTTACAAAAAAAAAAAAAATTAATGGCTATATTTGTTGAGGAATAAGTAGAAAGTGAAGGAAATAGCAGTGGAGAAATAATAGAGGATAGGGAAGAAGAAAAAACTACAACACTAGATGGCACCATTGACCAATCTCGCTAGGCAAGAGAAACTAGTGATTGCCAGATAAGCACAGAACAGGTTACTCTCCCCAAAGTAACTTCCCACCACTTTTGCTTTGGGCTTCCAGCATCCAGACAAGATTTTGAAAGAATTTAGAAAGTAGATGGAAGAGAAAATCTGGATCAAGTGTCACACCTCCACCCTTGCTATACTATATTCACACTACTGTTTGGGTAATGAACATAAGGTTTCCTGTTCCCTTCAGATAGTTCATGATTTGGTTTTCCTCACTTCTGATACCTCTCCTGATTGCTTTATAGAACATATTTGGTGGTGTGCTGGAAAATGCTGCCTATAAGAGATTCACTTAGGATGTAAAGCTACATAGCCTGACAGAGAAGGGATAGGAAAAGGCATTGCATACAAGTGGAATAAAAAAGGTACATCAGGATGCATACTGCTCCTGCCACTTTTATTCCACATTGTACCAGAAGTTCTAGACAGAAAAATTAAGCAAGATAAAGGGTAAAAGGTATCCAAATCAGAAAGGAAGAAGTGAAACTGTCATTTGCATATATGATATATAGAAAAACCTAAAACATCACCAAAAAAAAATGGTTACAATTAACAAAGTCGGGAATGGTGAAGCTAAGGATACAAAATTAACACAAAAATTAGTAGCTTCTACACACTAACAAAACACCTCAGAGAATTTTTATAAACCATCCCATTTATAGTTACATCAAAAAATAAAGTGCCTAGGAATATGGAATCTCCCTGCTGGCGCAGGGGTTAAAGACACAGCTCTATCAAGCTAGCGCCAGCCAGTGCAGCACGAGTTTGATCTGCCAGAAAGCTAACCCACATGACACAGCAGACCTCTCCAGTCTCGCCCGCTGCTCCCCTCAGCAGTGTATTTCAGTAGATCCACCTGTTCTGCTCCTCAGTCTCTCTGGTAAATCCTCTTACCCCCCACACCTCTGGCCTATACCCCAGTTCTTGTATGGATAAATAAATAAATCTTTTTAAAAAGTAGTAAAATGCCTAGGAATAAATATAACCAAGGAGATGAAAGATCTAAAAATTATAAACTTGACAAAACTATAGACATTGACGAAAGAAATTGAAAAGTACAAATAACTGGAAAGACATCCCTGCTTCTCTGAGACTCTCTTGGGCCTCTAGAGTTTCATCTTCCTCAACCCATTACTTATATACCCTTTTGTATCTTACTTTTTTATAATATACTTTAAAATTCTTAATCAGAGGGCCTCCCCTGTGGCGCAGCAGTTGAGAGCTAGGTTGCGAAGCTGCCCGCAGCCTCTGCAGCGCTGGTTCGATCCCTGACCGCCAGGTGAGGGTCTCATATGGCGCGCAGACCTCTCCTGCCACCTGCTGCTCCCCTCAGCAGTGTGTTTCATCAGTCTGCCTGCTCTGCTCTCCGCTCTGACTCTGGTGAATTCTCTCACTCTCCCGTGCTTCTGACTGTACCCAGTGCTTGTATAAATAAATAAATAAATAAATCTTTAAAAAAAAATCTTAATCGGATGCCTCTATAATGCCAATTCTTGATGCTCTCACTGAAACAAAGTCTTAAATGTTCTCAGCAGCAAAAGGATAACTTTGAGAGAGGATGTATTAACTAACTTTCCTTTGGCATCATTTCACAATTTACGTGTCTATCAAATCATCACATTGCACACAAGTTACATGACATTCTAGGTCAATTTTATCTCAATAAAGCTAAGGGGAAAATATTTTTCCAGGAGTTTCCAGTACCCCAGGGCAGAGGGGGTACCCAAGGGATGTGCCCCTGTCAGCAAATAGGGTCGGGTAAGAGTCAAAGTCAAATGCATGAGCTACTCCACCCCACCCCATTTACTCATATTTTACCCACTGGGAACCAATTCCAAGAAGCTGGCAAACTACCATGAATGTAAAATCCAACAGTTCAGAGGTGAAATGGACGGCCTTCGGGAAGAAATGACATTTCCACACCCAGATGCTCATGAGGGAAGTCGCTCTCTGAGGTGGGAGACATGGCCCTGGAACCAACCTCAGCGTGAGTCCTGGAGCTGCAGAGGCCATTCTTCAGGCTAATTCACACTATAATGACACCATCCACCCTCCGCTCACCCTGTAATTACATAGGAAATGGACCCAAAATTGTCCTGGAATGACTGGACATGACTCCGGCCCACTGGGTTTGGCCGGAGGCCCAGATAAGCACTAATGACATCCCCAGGCAGAGTGCCAGTCACCGGCTGGGCGGGACTCAGCCTCCAGCCATGGGTACTGCTGAGCAGATGATGTCAGACCACGAGGGGTTGGGGAGTGATGGAGATGACTCCCCCTTCCCAGTATTTTCTTTCCCTAAGAGAAGAAAGAAGATCCTGTTGCCTTTCTGCCTGGCCCTTATGCTGTTTAATCTACAGATCATCTCCTTACCATGGATCCCTCCTGTATTAAAAACCATCAGGATCACCTTCAGGATCCAGGACATGTCCTCATCCAGGACAAGAGACACTAATCCCAGAACACATACTCTGACCCTGGGTGGTGGATTCGTTTTCTGCTACTGTGTTAACAAATTACCGTGACGTGCACCTGCTTAAAACAACATATATTATTTTCTCACTGTTTCTGTGGCTCAGGAGCCCAGGCACAACCTGGCTGGTCCTCTGCTGGGGGTGGCTCACAGGAGGTGTTCCAGGGTCAGCTGGGCTGCAGCCAGGTGTGGACTTGAGATTCCAGGTGCAGGTCATTGCTTGGCAGGACTTGGTTCTTCATGGGCTATAAGACCGGGGAGCTAAGATCCTCACTGGCTGTTGACAAGAGCTGCCCTCTATCCCTTTCCATCTGAGGTTCTCCAACACCACAGCAGGAGCAGGCAATGGAGAGGCAGATAGCAAGAAGTGGACCACAATCCTTTGTAATTTAATAGAGAAGTGACAGTCCATCACCTTTGCCATATTCTACTGTTGAGTAGGAAGTCACTCGACTAGTCCACACTCTGGGGAAGGGATGACACCAGGAGGGTGTGGCCACCAGGAAGTGACCATGTGGGGCCACCTACCAAGTCTGCCTCCCATGGATGGGAACTGGAACTCACCAGGGGCATCCCCTGCAGGCTACAGTGCTTTTTTTTTTTCTTTTTTAATTTCAGGGCCTAATAATGTTTTGGAATATAGATAATAAAAGAAGAAAATGCAGAAGAAAAACATCCCTCTTGTAGATAAACATGATGACCTACTGCCACATTTGACAAGTAAAAAAAATCTTGAAAGTAAACAAAAACAAAGCCAAGCAAACTCCAAATTAGGAACCCAGGCAACAGCCTTAAGTGAGGTGAGTGCACTAGGTTAATGGCTGGTGGGCAAAAACTCAATTCTGTCATGTGTCTATCTTTTCTCCTTCCCAAGATGCCACTAAAATGATAGTATAAAATGATAGTGTATTGGGACCTCCCTAGTGGCACAGGGGTTGAAGTCTTAGCACTATCAAGCTATCGCCAGCCTCTGCAGCATGAGTTGGATCCCCGGCCAGAAAGCTACCCACATGGCGCAGTAGACCTCTCCTGTCTAGCCCATTGCTCCCCTCAGCAGTGTATTTCAGTAGATCCACCTGTTCTCTTCCCCACTCTGAATCCTCCCTCCCTCTCTCTCTCTCTCTCTCTCTGTCACACACACACACACACACACACACACACACCCCACCTCTGGCCTACACCCCTGTTCTTGTATGTATAAATAAATCTTTAATAAAATGATAGTGTATGGCTATAAATGATTCCCCACTTTGCCCTGGCCTTTAGGCCCAGCATTCAGAGGCAGAATTTGGGAGGTGGAGAAGTGAATTAAACATATTTCTAGGAGGAAAGCAGAGGACTGGCCAGCGGCAGGAGCCCTGGTCAGGAATGCATGTGGAAGCAGCTCACCCAGGAAGGGTTTGTTGAGCCCCAAAGAGAAGACTCAGGCCTCAGGGAGGTCAGAGTGAATGCCAAGGGCTAAACACAGGTAGATTAGTTGAAAGTCAACATTATAGAAGTCAGCCACACCCCCACCCTAAGGTCTCTGCAGATGGCCAGTTGTACCCTTCTCCTGCTCTGTCCCCAGGCACATCCACCAAAGGAAAGTAACTTAACTGAGATGGCAGATTAACCATTCCTTCTCCCTTTCCAACCTGGCAAAAATGACAGGAAAGAAAACTTTATAAAAGTCTTAATCCACAAGGGCAGAGAAAGTAGGACTCAGTGATGGACAAGGGTTTTTAACCAAATGCTAAAAAGTAGAAAGCAAGTGTAGGGCCTCCCTGGTGGCGCAAGGGGTTAAGACGCAGCACTATGAAGCTATCTGCAGCCTCTGCAGCACGAGTTCGATTCCCGGCCAGGGAGCTACCCACATGGCGCAGCAGACCTCTCCTGTCTCGCCCGCTGCTCTCCTTGGCAGTGTATTTCAGTCAGTCTGCCTGTTCTGTTCCCCACTCTGTCTCTGGTGAATCCTCTCACCCCTACCCCAGCACCTCTGGCCTGTGCCCCAGCTCTTGTATGAAGGGAAGAAAGGAAAGAAAGGAAAGAAAAGGAAAGAAAGGGAAAGGAAGGAAGGGAAGGAAGGGAGGGAAGGGAGGGAAGGGAGGAAGGGAGGAAGAAGGGAGGAAGGGAGGAAGGGAGGAAGGAAGAAGGAAGGAAGGGAGAGAGAGAGAGAGGAAGAGAAGGAAGGAAGGAAGGAAGGAAGGAAGAAGGGAGGGAAGGAAGGAGGAAAGAAGGAAAGGAAGGAAGGAAGGAAGGAAGGAAGGAAGGAAGGAAGGAAGGAAGGAAGCAAGCAAGCAAGCAAGCAAGCAAGCAAGCAAGCAGGTGTAGGCATGTAACTGACCAGCAATGCTAACTTTCAACACTGCAGAGGGTGATGCAGGACAAGGCTGATGCACAGGAGGAATGAGACAGCTGCAGCTCAGAGACTCAATACTTGGGAGGAGCAGGAACACAGGAAGGCTGAAAATGGAGGTGGTTAAGTTTCTACAGAGGGTGGGACACCAGGTCCTACCTAAGCCCCAAGCAGTCTCGTTACCTCCCCTCTCCCAGCTGCAGGAGACTAGAGGCCTATAAGAATTCTAAGCTTGGGGACCTGAATCAGAGCAAAAGTCTAGGGGAACCAGAGATAGGCACAGGGCTGAATAGGGAGAGAAAAGGCCGAGTCAGTGGCCTCACAGTCATCCATCCTTTCTGTTCCTTGTCCCCAGGAGGCCAACAAGCAGGTGTACCTGGAGCAGATGCCTTTGCCCCTCAGGTGGGGGAGCAAATCATTCATCCCCAGAGAAAAGACTCCAGAACAGTGACATTTAGCACCCTAGGGAAAAGGCCCATTTGCCAACTAATCTACTTACAGTAAAGATCAGCAGATGAGAGACCTCCCAGAAGTGTCTCCCTCTGAAATATGGGGGGCCAAAAATTGTGGAAGTTGTCTTTTCCTTCCTTCTCCTTCAGTGTTCTTTTCTAATGGTTTTGCAGCTGCTCCTCCTGTCTTGCTGGGCATCATTCTAGAGCTTGATCTTTGAACAGCAGTGTGGGGGGCCCTGGCCTGGAGTGACCTAGGAATAGCACAGATCCAGGCCAGAGCCAGGGTGGTGCTTTGGCATGACAAGTTTCTCCCTAGGCCAGGTCTCTCTGTCATAGCCAGGTGCCTTGTCTGGCGACAGGTCAGATTTGATGTAGTTTACATATTCATGGCCTGCTGCCATGAGACAGGAAGGAACAAGGGGCCAGAGCGTCTACACCAGAGTTTATTGAGTCATTGGGGCCCTACAGCAGCTGAACTCCCAGGCACCTGTGCCAGGTTCTGGGTGCCAAAGAACTACACTTCAATCTTGCTCAACATTTTACATTTTGTTCTCTTTCTGACTCATGGAATTATCACCTTGTTTTGAAACCAGTCTTTTTGTTTTTCTCTTTTTTATACCTTGTGTATCTACTATGTGTTGGGAAAAAAGAAGTTGATCAAGTCATGAATGCACTGGGCCCACATTTTGGTTCCTAACACTCTTTTACAAGAACCGGGGCTCTGGGCCTCCCTGGTGGTGCAAGGGATTAAGAAGCAACCTACGAAGCTATCCACAGCCACTGCAGCACGAGTTTGATCCCTGACCAGGGAGCTACCCACATGGCGCAGCAGACCTCTCCTGACTCACCCACTGTTCTCCTTAGCAGTGTACTTCAGTCAGTCTGCCTGTTCTGCTCCCCACTCTGTCTCTGGTGAATCCTCTCACCCACCCACCACATGTCTGGCCTGTACCCCAGCTCTTGTATGTATAAATAAATAAATCTTTAAAAAAAAGAAAAGAAACGGGGCCCCTAGTGGAGAACAGTAGTTAGTTCTGGGAGACAAGAGAAGTGAAGTTGGGGACGGAATATCATGTCAATCATCAAAGATATCCAGAGAGGAGTCAACAGAAGGGGCCCAAATTGTGACAAGCATCAAAAACAAAACAACTAAGACCAACTAAGAGACCAACTAAGATGGAGTTAAGCTCTGACTCCACAATGACGTCCACAAGATACAACTACTACCTCAGTCAGATGCCTAGTGCCTCACCCATGGGATGCGGACTAGAGCAAAGTGACTTTCGTACCTGAACCAAACTCAGAGTCATGGGACCAAGAACATTTAAAGTTAGGTGCAAGGGGTAGACTCTAGGGAAAGGAGCTAAAGTCATAACTTTGGGCACTGACTCAATTTTCCCCATGTAGTAAGGGCCCTGTTGATGTTTTGTCTTAAGAACAAGAAAGTCTACTTGTGAGTTTCCTCTAAATGGTAGTACAGAGTTGTTTTTTTGTTTTTTTTAATTTGAAGAGCAGGTTTATTAGGGAAAGGGATAGACGAGTAAAAGACACTTGCACAGACACAAGCAGGCAGGAAAAGCTGCCCTGAAAGGGACAGGTTTTCTGAGAGAGGCCTGCATGGTTGCAGGTGGGCGGCCTTCAGGGGAGCTGCCTCCGCTGAGGGAGCCCAGTGAAGAGACACCCCGGCAGTTACAGGTCACAGGCAGGCAGGAGGCTGCTGCCCTGTGGAAGAAGAGAGTTGGTGAAAGGAAGCACCTGCATAGTCACAGGTGGGCAGATAGACTGCTGCCAGTACAGAGGTCTTTAGCATCAGTTTTTCTGGAGGGGTGATGTGAGCCTCAATCAAGAAGGGCCACGGGGTTGCAGGACTGTGCTTTCTAGACTCAGGGAGGTCTGATGACACTGAGGAGACTCATGGGGATCTTTGGGTACTGAAGTGTCCTATCTGCTCTTCTAAAACAACTATGTCACTTTGGTTACTTGTATCAGGAACTTATACTGCTTATGGGTAGGAGGCCTCCCTGCTTATCTACTTTTGCTTGAAACACTTCAGAGCAAAAAGTAGGGAAGAGAAGGAGTTGTGGCTATAGTAACACAGAAGTCATTAGGACCCCCAGGGAGAAAGGGATGAATGAGGACAATTGTATGGCATGATACTCCAGTCCTAGAGTATTTACATTATCATGGATGTGTCAACATTTTTGTTGCATTTTGACTTTTTGAATAAACACACAGAGAGAGTACAGATTTCATTCTGGTTATACAATAAATGTAAATGTTTTAAAACACTAAAAACGCTGATGGTGTAAAAGGGCAGATGCCCTGAGTTCGAAGGTAGAAAGGGAAAAGAGAGCTGGAAAGACAGACGGGAGATGTCAGGGACTCAGTTCACAAAGCAGGGTGGCCGGCGATCCAGTCCACTGCTAAAGCCGCTGGAACAAGAGTGTTTTTGAAGGCAAACCTGTTATTATAGAATCTGCTAGGAATTTTCAGACCTATCTGGAAGGATCCAAACGGAACCAGCAATACTGCCTGTAGAAGGTGATCAGGGTGGCTAAGGAACTGACAAGTAAGGGAGACCTTTCACTATAGATCCCTCTTATCTTTGAAGTTTAAACCTTCTTGACTGCCAGGATGGTATCCCCCTGAAATAGCAGCACCAGACACAGGATGTGCCCAAAGGGATTTACCAAAGCTTTGTAGCCACGACCAAACAGTCAGAGATGGATGTGTGATGGAATAACTATAATGTAAGATACCACACGGTAATTAAAGAATCAATTAGTCCTGTGTCGATGAATATGGAAAGGTGTCTCATTTAATGAGACAAAAGAGTTGTCTGGGGAACATTTAGAAAGTACTTGTCTGTATGATTTAGAAAGTACTTGTCTGTATGATTGGTGTATCCACACAAGACAGCATAAAAAGGACCATAGCAAACTGAGCAGCAATTATTTCTGATAAGAGTGGGGAGCACATTTCCACATAAATGTCTTACCTGATTTTATTTTGAGACATCTGTATAATGTGCGGACTCTTTTCAATCATTGTCTCAAAGGACAGCATTGCCCCATTAGGTGAAAAAAGGGTTTGGAAGTGGAGGGTCATGAATTCAGCCAATGAACGCCAAAGAGGAATTAAGCTGAACACTTTAAGAAGAAGCACAATCAGGGCCATGCTTGATCAATTAGGCCACTTCCATGTCAAGTTTACCAAGGCCCATCAGTGTGATCTCTGCTAACTTTGAACCCTCAAGTTTTCAAACTGGTAGGACCATGAGTCCAATCAGGGAGTCCCTCTGTCATCACAGAACTTGAGAAACCTCAAAATTTTCTACAATGACCACAGTTCTGGGGAGCTGGCTTCCGAAGCCACCCTGAGGCCACAACCATTCGTGTACTAGCCACACAGCAGCTACTCACAGAAACCAGGCCTGCTAGGGGCACCGCACGTGTGGAAAGAGAGCAGTGAGGCAAATGACTGAGAATGGAAGGCGCCATCAGAAATGCGAGTCCGTAAAGGATGCCCATGCTTCTCCCAACCAGCAAAGTCATGGAGCCTCTGCCTTTGTCCCGGCCTGGAAGGCCTGTGTGGACCAGAGCTTCTGCTTTGGAGGCTGGTGGACTTGTAGACATTCACGCCAACACCACCCATAGCTACTGATTGTTTATTGCACAAGAAACTGGCAATACCAAGGCGAGGGGATGGGCATTACAAAACAATCTGGTGACCAGCTGGGAGCTACCAGAGGGCATTCCATACAGACACCCCAGTTATATACATGTATGTACACACAAACACACACATTCTGAACACCCATGAGCCTGGGGCCTCCAAATCCCCACATGGTAGCTCATACCCCGACTCCCCTGACGTGGTGGAAAGCTGCAGAGAAGCACAACAAACAACTGGAGGGAAGAAAAATGGTGCTTCAGTGAGCAGAGCCACCCAAATCAGCACATACAACAAAGCAGGCACAGCTGTCCCTCCACAGGCCCAGGGTGGGGAGGACGAGGAGCAGGAACACGAGACTGTCCTTAGAAGGCTGTGACGGTCCAAAGGCATGCCTAGGGTCCTGGCTCAGTTCCATCTGTTGCCAGAACCTGGCAACTCCATGGTGACTGGGACACACTGCTTCTCCACCAGAGACTAGTAGGTCTGCCCGGAGCTCAGGGGCTGGCGGGAGAGAGGTTCAGCCCCATATAACCCATCACGTGGGGCTGCCTGGGTGACCATATCTAGCAAAGGGAACTCTTCTTTTGGAGGTCACGAGGTTGGGTGTCACTGGACACACCACCCCCTTCCCTCTCCAGCGAGGCTCAGGAATCAGGCTGCATTGGGTGACGCTGCATTGGGTCTGCCTGAGCTCAGACCTGCAAAGCAGATTCCCAAGAGGAAATTCTCAGACCAAAGGTGCTGGGTCTCCTCAAGGTCCCAGCAACCCCTGGTGTCCTGGCTCCTTGAGAGAAAGTAACAGCAGCATACCAACGACGAAACAAAGAGTAACCCTACACAAGAAATGCTTCAAGTTTATGTCAAAGGGAAAAAGAAAGCCTGAGGGAGGTGGCTGTTTCCATCCCATGAACACCTAAGCCATTGGTACAATCCTGTGTTTGCTGGGAAGATCTCACTGGCAGCAATGAGTGGGGAGGGTCTTGTGGCTCAGCTCCCTCCACGGTGCCTGCCAGGCAGGAGGAGGGAAATGGTTCTCTCCCCTCAGATATTCCTTTTATACAGATCACTTAGAAAGTTCTAGTTAAAACAGAACCTCTTTTACTGGCAAAGTGTGGGCCTTCTCAGCCCAGAACAGGAGGCTGTGCTCCCTCTTTCCTAGGTAGCCTGTGAGGCCCAGGGCTTCCACTGTAGACCTTTGGCAGTGGACACCCTCCCCTGCGCCCTCACACATGCCTAGGGTTGGTCTGAGGGGAAAGGATGACATTTGCAGAGGTCAGCCCTCCAGACTTTGCAAGGGCTGTTGGGGCCAAAGGGGACCAGGGGGCTTTATTCCAGATTGCCACCAGTGGGGAGGACAGTGGGGGCGGCAGGGCCTCCTGAGGTCAGGCTCTGCTGTCGCCGGTATGAAGACAGCATGGTCCCACACAGAGCCACCCTCCGTGAGGGCCCCCCAGGGGGCTGCATGGCCAGCGGCCTCTCGGGCAGGAAGGACTACATGTGCGCTGGGGGATGAGGGAGGTGGTAGCCTCAGTTACTCTTGTCCAAAGCCCTCAGTCTCCTCAATGGCGTAGAGCAGCTTCTCCTTCAGCTGTTCGTAGCTCTTGTATGGTGGGAGATCCAGACGGTTGAAACTGTGCAGGGAGGAGAAGAGAGCAGTCGGATTGGGAGCTCAGGCTCTGAGAGCCCCACCCAGCCACAGGGCCTCAAGAGAGTGCAAGGACTGTGGCTCCACCTTACTGGACACCAGGTGGCCAGAGGCAAGAGCAGGGTCTTCTAGGGCCCAGGCTGTGTCAGGCCTTAACACTCCAGGTCCCTGAACTGTGCCAGGGCTTGGGGTGGAGGCAGGCAGCTGGGTAAATGGGGAATTGGGCAGGAACAGAAGTGTTTCAATACCGAATGCTTTGTAAGGTGTCAGGGCACGTAATAGCTGCCACAACACTCGAAAGATCAGAGGCCCAGGCAGAGGAGGCACCAGCAAAGTACAGCTCCTGGACTCACCCCAACACCCCAGGGCTACGCAAAAGGGAGTCAAGACCCCAAGGCCGCCACCCACTGAGCTGCCCTTTGAGGCAGATCTAGTCTGGGAGGCTCTGGCCCCCTGCCACTGAAATCGGTGGGCTCACCAGGTGTGGCTTCTGGGCAGCCAGGTTTCCTTGCCAACCTTGTCGATGCAAAACTTCTGTGGTCCGTTGCTGCCTGGTTTCCAGAAAAAAATGCACCATAGATAACAGAAAGGCCCCTTCCTGAGGCAGGATCCTCTAGCTCACCCACAGATGGGGCTCCAGCTTTCCCCCTACCACTTGCTGCCAGGAAGATAGCAGGGTGGGCCCCTGTTTGTGCTGTCCTCACCCCCACCCAAGGGCACCAGCAAGACGAGGGGAAACCTACCAATGAGTTCAGCAAACCCCCCCACAGGCAGGCGGCAGGTCCCCGTAACAAACTGGAGCAGCCGGATCCTCTTCTCGTTGTCCATCTCCTTCACCACCTGGAAGTCTGAGAGTCAGGGAGAGGCCAGCACCCACCCAGCCTGGCACTTCGGCCTGACCTGTAACTCTCTGGCCAGCCAGAGCCCCTCTTTGGGGCTGCAAACACAGAGCCCAGGTTGGGGGAGAGGGAGGGGGATGGCCACCATCCTGGGAAACGCCAAACCTCTCTCTCTGGGAACCTGTATTTGCAGAACATTCCCATCCACTTGCAGACATCTGAGGCCAGGCACTCTCCTCCTGACACGCAAGTGCTGCTCTAAGAATCCTAAGGATGGCAGTGACTGCTAATGGGTAAGGGGCTTCTTGGGAAGATGTGAAGTTCTGGAACTAGATGGGGTGACAGCTGCTCAACACTGGGGAAAGCTGCTGAACTGTACACCCTAAAAAGCTTAACGTGGGCAATTTTCTGGTATGTGAATTTCACCTCCACAAAAAATTCACCTGTATTTATTCTTTCATATGGGAGCTGCAGCGTGCAAGGACAACAGCAACAAACCCCCACACACAAAGGAATCAATTGATCCACTATACCCAGGATAACGAGCCAATTTGGGTTCTCTCCAGTCAAGCACATGCTCTCTGGTGACGGGAAGGAAACCCCAGGACTGACAGCCTACAGCCCAGCACCCCTAGCCCCACCCAACACGTGTTCTGTGCTGGTCCCAGGCTGAACACTGCACCTGTGGGCAAATGTGCTAGGGCCGCATATGGCTGCCATAGCTCCATTCACTCCAAGACTGGGTGCCTCCTCATCTCTGGCAAATTGGAGAGGTGAGGACAGAGTATCAAAGGTGAGGGAGGTGACAACACAATAAGCGTCCTTGAGCTTGAGGTCTCATTCCCCCAGGGGGACTACTCGAAAGACCCTCGCCAGACACTGGCCCTGACCGTGGCGGGACCAGTTCACAGACCCACCTGCCAGAACCACTGGATCTGTTTGCTGTTTTTGGTGTAGTGCCGGTAGATGGTGTTCTTCTGCCAGTCGCTCATGTCTATCTCCTGCATGCCGCACAGCATCAGCTGCAGAGGGGAGGATGTCAGCACCCGGCAGCCCCCACCGCCTCCTTTGCTGGCTATCAGATGAAATTGTCTCAAATATTTTCTCCGGTTCAAATCAAAACCACACTGAGATACCACCTTACACCAGTGAGAATGGCACATATCAAAAAAACAAGCAACAACAAATGTTGGCGAGGATGTGGTAAAAAAGGAACTCTCCTGCGTTGCTGGTGGGAGTGCAAACTGGTCCAACCACTATGGAAAGCTGTCTGGAGGTTGCTCAGTCTACTAAAAATGGAGCTACCATACGACCCAGCAATTCCACTCCTAGGGATCTACCCAAAGGACACAAAAACATTGATTCAAAAGAATGCCTGTACACCTGTGTTTATTGCAGTGCTATTTACGATAGGTAAAACCTGGAAACAACCCAAATGCCCAAAAATAGATGACTGGATCAAGAAGATGTGGCATATATACACAATGGAATATTATGTAGCAATCAAAAAAGATAAACTCATGCCGTTCGCAGCAACGTGGATGGAGCTAGAAGGAATCACGCTCAATGAAAAAAGCCAGAAGGGAAAAGAAAAATATCGGATGGGTTCACTTATAGCAGGAATACAGGGGAACCAAATAAGACATCAGTGTAAAAAAAATAATAATAATAACAGTACAAAACACAACAAAGCAAAAACAGACAATTACAAATCAGAGACAGCTTGCAGGGGAGGAGGAGGGAGAGGGATCAGAGGGAGGGAGGGAGGAGCACAGGAGATTGTGGTGATGGTGCACGGGAAGGAAATTCTATGGGGACTCAACCTGAGGGGTGGGGGGAAGCAAATAAAAAAAATTAAAAATTAAAAAAATAAAAATAAAAACAAAAACAAAAGCAACAACAAAAATATTTTCTCCAGTTTTTGTCGACAGTTTTAATTACATGAGTTACACGGGCCTTGACCGTGGAGACCTCCAAACAAGGCTGCCAGGGAAGGGCAGATGCAGGCACCCACAGAACCAGGGCCCACACAACCTGGGTTCTCACCTCCAGTTCTTTCTCATCGAAGTAGCGCAACCACTCCAGGGGAGCGACTTCATTGAAGCCGTCCAGGAAGGCTTTGGTCTGCTCTTCCACGCCCCGGGTGAAGCGCCAATCGGTCAGCAGCCTAAAACCAAGATGGGCTGTCTGTCAGCGGCACCTGAGAGGCCCTGCTCAGGCGTAGCTCGGGCAGTGGGTGCAGCAGCAAGGAACCTGCGGAAAGCAGACCTCTGGCCCACAAGACCCTGTTGACTGGGGGATCCAGGCCTGCCCGACCTCACAGTATCCCCAGGACACCTGAATCTGAACCCAGCTCTATCGTCTCCTCCTCCTCCCACCACTGCTGACTGGACCACAGACCCGCGGAGACTAAAGAGAACAAACCGAGAGACACAAAAGCACATACAGGCAAATGAAGGCACAAATACATGTGAAATGGTGCATTTAAACAAACAGGACACCAAAATCCTTCCGTTAGGGGAAAGGAGAGGGAGATGGCGAAATTTCAAGCTTCTTCAAAGAAATTCAGTCCCGCAGTCTTGAAGTCTACCACATGGGGAAAGAAGAACAACCAAGAGCCGGGAACAGAGGGTCAGGGCTCAGTGCCCTCAACGCAGCTCAGTATGTGACTGTCACGGTAGCCACCTCGGGCCTATGCAAAATGGGGGGGGGCGGGTTCTTGCAATCCTGTGACCTGGAGGCAATGCCTGGATACCCCAGAGACAAGAGCGGAAAACCCCTTCTTTGCCACAGGCTATGTCTCTACTCCCCTCTCCCCACCCTTCATTCCCACAGGAGACTCACATGATGTATTCTTCCTTATTCTCCTCTGTTACTCGGATGCTCTCACCACCTTCCTTCAGCTCGTGGGTGGTCACCTTGCCCAGGATCTCCATGTCCTGGATGAAGTACAGCTCCAGGCCACACTCTTCTAGGCTGTTCTCTCTAGGGGCAGGAGAGACGAAGAGGGATGATGGGTCTTCCCTTAACCCTGCTCCATCACTTATTTTCAGGGAAACAGGAGAACTCACAGGGGCCCTAGAATGGAAACAGAGGCACAGGCCCTCTCCCTGAGTGAGAACCCTTCCAGGGGGACCTACAGCGGTCACTCTGGCAGAGAAGGCCAGCAGTAGCTTCTCCCCAACCAGAGACCCCTCCTCCTGCGTGGAACAAGGGCAGGGGCTCACTTGATCCAGACGATGGAGTTATAGAACTCGGGGTCGATGGATTCCAAGTCTTTCAGGGTTGGTCTCTTGTTGAGCATTCGCTTGTAGAAAGGGAGGGTGAAGCCCGTGTCAATGAATTTTCCATGGTACAGGGCCTGAGGAAGACAAAGAAATGGCAAAGAGGTTTTGGTCTTCCCAGGATATTTTTCAAGTAGGCTCTTGGCTGCTCCAGATCAAATCTGGCTACTGCTACCTCTCTGCCGTTCCCAATACACCTGAGCATCCAGCTGCCTCAGGGGCCCCAAAGGAACATCTGGGAAATAAGCAATACTCTTTGTCCTGACTGAGACCTCGGAAGGCATGTTCGTCACATCTGCAGACCACAGGGCGGGTCTGCTCAGGAGCCCACCCTGAGCCACTAGCCTGCCCAGCAAGCCCCCTGCCAGCTCCCTGTTCTGGCAGAGATCTGCCTCGATCTGACAGAGGGGACTCATCCAGTATAGCTCAAGGTGGCAGCCCTGACTCACTGATGCTCAGCACTGGGCAGCAGAGGCAGCCAAAAATAATGCAGACGCCAGTGACGGCAAGAGCTGGCGGCCCAATGGTGAGTAATAGTCTAGGGTTTTACTAGTCTGTCCTGTCGGCTGCTGGGCCGGGCGGGTCTCTAGGTCTGGGAGGAATGTGCCCACTTCCTGAGGCCAGCACTCTGGCCAAGAACTTCCAGACGATGGGCAGGGACATATTTAGTAATGGGCTCTTGGGTCGTCCTGAACTTCGGAAGTCAGGGAGAAGCAAAGGACAGTAAGCAGTGAAACATCTCACCTAATATGGCTCCCATGGGCTCCCCTTCCCAACTCTGTTTCTCAATACTCCCAAATGCTCCCACCTGCAGCTTCTAACAGAAGGTGGTGCCCCCTCCCCCCAGAGACGGGCAGCAAGTGGCCAATTAAGGTTGTGCTCAGTCCTTACATCCCAACACCCTCTACAGGGCCATTGTGAGCTGTTAGGGTCCCTCGGTTTTCACAGGACTAGCCTGCCAAGAAAACCCTCTTAAGGGCCCCAGGGTGGTCACTGAGAATGGACCAAACTATCTAGTTCTTTGCCTTTGGGTCAGGAATTCTGTGAGGAGGAGGGTGGGGCTCTGAGGGGGGCAGTGGTTGGCGGCACTACTATGGGTGTGCAGTCTGGCCTCCTGAGCTGCAGCCTGCCCGGAGGTCTCATGGCCATGAATCTTACCATGGCGATGAACCTGCCAATAAAGCGGAAGTAGGTGAGGTGGTCGGGGTTGATGGAGGAGGCGGGGTTGATCTGTAGGCAGTAATTGTTCTTCCCGGCGTATTCAAATAAACAATACATGGGGTTGAGCACCTCGTGGGATAGGAGGAAAAACCACTCTCTGTGAGAGAAGAAAAAAAAAGACTCATGACCCCTCCCTGCACACCTATAAGGGAGGTTTGCTCTCTCCTCCTCTGTCCTACTTCAGCTAGACTGCACTGCAGACGCATGTCCCAGGAAGTCCAACTCCATGGAATCATGACAGCTGGCATGTGAGTGGAACAGAGTCAGACCTGGGAGAAGCCAGGACAACAACAATTGTACTTGAGGATGATGCTGAGGAAAAGTAAAGTGTGTATGTGCTGGCTCCCAGGACTTTACAGCCAGGATGCCAAGTATCTAATGGCAAAGGGGTCCTTGCACCCCAGGTCCACCAGGCACAGTTGTGTAGGCTAAGCACCGCACAAGGGCACCATGTTAAAATATCTAGACGTGGATGTTCATTACAATAATTTTCCTGCAAACAGCAGTCAAGCTAGGCTGGTTTGTTTTTCTGATAAACCCAAGCTACCATGACCCTTTTCTAAGACACAGAAGTCTCTTGAGAAAAAGTCACCTTTTTCTAAATCATGCAAAGGTGCCATATGAACAGCAGCCACACTGCTACCACCCGACCAGAGTAGGCAGTGCAGTAAGAATCCATGGGTGCAGGTTGCTAACTCATGGTTAGTAAACTGTAACCCATGCTGCCTCTAGACTATAAACCTCACTCCCTCTGTCCCACCAGCTATATCTCAGTTCCTTTGCACATCCCCCCCCCCACCATCAACATCTTTTCCCATACATCTGTGCGTTCATCTGAACCAACACCCACACCCTAGCATCTCTTTGCACCCTATTTACAAGTCTCAAGCCAGAATGCAGGCTCCTTTCAGGCTTGAGCTAAACCAGCGTGGGGATGTCCCCAGGGGGCCAGTCCCTGGCTGCTGGGCTGTCTGTTGCCGGGCAGATGAGGAGTCCTTCGATGCAGAGGGTGCCCCGGTATCCTGTCCGTGGTTCTACCCTGTGGTAGAACAGCATGACGTAACCTACCATAGGGTAAAACCACTGGCAGGACACAGAGAGACAGACACACACAAGGCGGGAGCCACACCAGAAGCCCACCAAGCAGAGCCTGGAGAGGAGGTCACCACAGGAAAAAAAAGAGCAATGGGTCCACAGGGGTCAACACAGAGGACCATGCCACCAGCGAACAGAAGACCAGAAGCAAGTTAACCCGACACCAAGCGAGAAGATGTCCCCACACCATGAATGTCAGCGAGCTCAGCAGTCACTTCAGGCCACGATGCTCCTTCCCTCTGCTACGGCCCTTGGGGCCCACTGTCCAAGGCAATGTTTTGCCAGAGTCTGTTAACTTTTATAGGTGGACTGGGGTGAGTAAGACAAGGCTGTGGGCTCTTTTAGGGTTACATTAGCCATTTTCACTTTACTGACCATGTGCGCATGTGACCTGTAGCCGAGTACTGATGGCAAGGCCCTAGGGATGCAGACGCAGCTGACACATATCAGGTCCACACTGAGACACCCGGCTTAAACTGCCCTGGCTACCTCAGGATGGAGAGAAGCTCAGGGTTGATTATAACACACAAGCACATGGCACCAATATTTAGCCACTGCCCGCTGGCACAGAGGGCTGGTTAAAGTATAGAAATGGTGACTTATTGGGTAGTCAAAGAGTTACTGTCCTGAGTCCTGGATCCAGGAGTCCCACTCCGCTCCCCACCTCCCTGTGACCCAACAACAAAAGGGTTAATGCAGGGAGCCCCAGGACCCTGCTCCCACGCCCATTGGACTGGCCTAGCCTGGGCCTGCTCCTACACATGCATAAGAGCTCTGGGAGCCAGTCTGAGCAAAGGGGAGGCAGCTCTCTAGCCTGGGCCCTGCAGCCTGGGGACATGGGGTGCAGTAAAGCCTGCCAGGGGCACCAAGCTCACCTGGCGATGCCCCCGTAGTCCAGGCCCTCCTCGCCGCGCATGATGATGTAGAGCCGCCGGCGCAGGTCGTAGGGTTTCATGTTCATGATCTAGGGAGAGAGAGTGCGGTGCCCAGCCTGTCACTCTCCCTGCCATGCGGGCTGGGGGCTCGCACCTTGGGAACTTGACTTGTAGACTTAACAGGCTGCTTAACAGAAGACAGGGTGGTGAGGGGCAACATGTGCCTGTCCCCTGGTCTTAGACACCATTGATTATTCTCTAACCTGTTGGAAAGAATCCTCAAAAAGCGTCTGCCTGGAAACACTGATCTTCACGTGGCTGGGGAGGGCATTGGACTAAAAAGAAAAGAAAACAATAACCTCAAATTAGGGCCATCATGGAAACTATATGGTCTGGTCTCGTATCTGGCTGAACAGGTTTCCCCTTCCCCTGGGCTGTAGGGGAGAGCCTGGCCCCCTAGCAATGGAAGCTGACTTCCTGGAGACAATGTCAGACAACTTCTTGGGATGAGACAGTGACCTGCCCCCACCTAAGACACAGGTATTCCTGCTGCTGGCCTGGAGGTCCCAGCACCAGAACTCACATGGCAGAGGAAACGGAACTGGTGATACTTCCACCGAAAACTTCTGTCATAGGCACCGGGGGAACCCTGCTTCGTCCTAGGAAGAGCAAAGATGGTCTGGAATCTGGGATTTCTCAGAAATCAGCAACATTATCTTTTTAGCCCTAAGGAAGGCTGAGGCTATGTTTGCCTAAAGGTGAGCAAAGTAAGATATAAAAAGAAGGGGACTGCCAGGAAGATCTTCTTCAGAATGGAGGAGTAAAAAGAAAAACTAGAGATGAAGCCAGACCTCTTGCTCTTAGAGAAAGACCACTAGTGTTGTTCTGAAAAACCAGACCCTGCCCTCCCATCCCCGCTAAGGACATTGAAATTGGCCACTAGAGGGCAGTAAGAGTAGCTGACATGGACAGGCCCTCCTTACCCAGACTCAAACCCGGGCCGAGGGTCCTTAAAGGTGGTCGTGCGGGTATTGTGGTCCACGAAGTAGCGCACCCCCTCATTGGTGTATTTCATCTCCCACCCTGGGGGCAGAGCAGGCTCCTGGATCATCCTGGAAACAGGAAAAGAGTGGTTTAGGGCTGGCCTCACCTTTTGGGCCTCAATGTTTAAGAGGCTGGGGACGCCATAGTGCCATTTCCTCTCTAATTTCATCCAGGCCCAGCAGAGTCTTGTAGGTGGTGTTTGAGAAAATGTGCCTGAGTCCTCAGAACAGGTGTGTAGCAGAGAGAAATCATTTACTTTCATGAGGCCACAGAGAGGTAGCCCTGGCCATGGCCTGAGTAGCCACCAGCAATCTTCGGGCACCATGTGCCCCAGTCCTTGACTTGCTTCTTGAGGGGTGGTTGGTACAGTGTTGAGGGTGTCCCTCAACCTTTCTGAGGTGGTGTTAGCAGCAGCAGCCTGCACAATCGGCCAGATGGAGAACATCAGCCAGGCCACCCTCCATCCACCAGGAAGGCTCACTTAAGGGATCACTTTCAAGTTCATTATCATGAGGATCTCAGAAAACACGTGCGTGGCTGAAGGTCCCAGACTACCAGCCAATTCAATGCTACTCTGCCAAGGTTGGAGCTGCACAGGGCCCAGGGCCTCCCCACCCCAGTCCTTACCCCTGAGTCCGAGGGTCCTCCCACTGGGTAGTGCGTGTGTTGTGGTTCACGTAATACACCCGTCCATTGTCCTGTCTCTTCTCTGCCAGGTAAGAAGAAAGAAAAGGGGACAATCAGACTGAGACCTTGTCCTCTCCCCTCTGGCTCCTGCTTCCTGAGTGCAGGGTCTGAATTTCTGCCCATTCCCATACTGCTACAGAAGTTTAACTGGTAAATGCCTGGCTCAACATCTGTCAATGGCACAAAAGACAAAAAGAGAATCTTTCCCTGCTGGGGAGGGGGAGGGATTGTCCATTTCCAACTGGAAATCAAGCACTGTCTTTGGATGGCTGGATGGTTGCTTGGTCGGTTAGCTGCAGGGAAGGGGGCGGTATGGTGACACATTGGGAGCAGACCAGCTGAAACCAGAGGCTTAATTGCATCCAGCTGCACAGTGGAGGGATCGCCAGCTGCCCCTCAGCCCTGGTCCCCACCCCAGTCCATCACGGCTGGTCTCTGGTTCTGCAACAACTCCATCCACTGGATGCAGCCAAGCCAGGCGTCCATCGCATAGGCGGTGTCATTGGTGAGGGGTTGGTGAGGGGCCACATTTGACTTCATACCACTCTATCAGTGCTCTGCACCAAGCCTTGTGTTACCTTTTACCTTCTCTTCTCCTGCTTAAAGGCAATGTTGTATTATAGATCTCTTATAACCCAGCCAAACTTTTGTGTTACGCACAAGCAAATAAAGGCCCAAGTTTGAGGACTCTTACAACACCCCACAGAAGGGAATCATCAGCTCCAGATGGACAGTAGGCAAAATGGAGAGCAAGGCTCCAAACCAGGCAGAGGAACCCAGGAAGTTTCTGAGCCTTCAAACCCGTCTCTGATCTGAAAACAAATGATGAGAATGGCCCCCCTTCTACAGTGAAGGGCAGAATGAAAGAAACAATCACTTCTAGAGCTGCAGGGAGACTAAAGGCTGAGAGGAACAGAACTGGGGTGCCCAGAGCCCTCCCCTTCAAATATCAAGCTGTACCCTTCCCAATATCAACCCAGGGTATTGGCTACTCTACCTTACCTGGTGTCCATTACTCAATGGAAATTTTAGAAACACAGACAAAAGGAAAAGGAAGGAAAGGATTTGCCCAGGGTTGCTCCAGAGTCCCCACCATCTCAGAAGAGCTGTAGGACCATCCCACAAAGGTTCAGTTTCTCGACAGGGTTCTGAGAGGTAGAGGCCCCTCAGCCCAGAAGCTTCTACTTGGAACTAGGTCCTCAGCCTATCCTCTGCCAGAGGCGAAGCCCATTCTAACTACTGGCCAGGGGCTCTATGGAGCTTGTCTGGGACCTGTGCCCCCAGATCTGGTACAGCTCACTGTGGGAGTAGCTCTCGCTACTCCTTGCTGCACACAATTTCCTGGTTTGGGTACTGGGAAATCCCATGGACTGCGGGACATTCAACCACATGTCTGGGGTCAGGCTGCTGAGGAAAACTAGATCTTACAGTTGAGGTTGTCTGGAGCCCCAGGCCAGTGCATGGGGAGACCCCAGGGTCTCTTCCTGAAGGAGCAGAAAAGGACACCAGAACAGAGAGCAGAACACAGTAGACTCAACGGCAAGCTCATATGTGATGCAATTTGCCTTTGGTTTTGCTGCTCTTTCTGTTTCCTCTTGACTCTCCCTGGGGAGGTGCCCTGCCACAGCCACAGGGAAGCCATTACAAAGCTTGGGGGACTTGTGAGGAGGAAGGCTCCATGGCCCTCGGCCAGGATATTCGTTTTGCTGAGTTTCAGACTATTACAGGTTTGTGTGTATGTTCCTGATCATTCATGAACAACACTGGCTTTGTCCACGGTGCCTCTTACCACCTCAGATATGTCACACCTGGCTTCTGAGAGCTGTTTTTCAGTCTCTGAAGCTGCTCTGACTCGATGTGCATCTTTTAACAGAACTGGTGCAGAAATAAATCACTTGACTCTCCAGAGCCAGGTCACGAGCTAGAGTCACCGTATCAACAGGCACCAACTGTACGACAGATTCCTGTTTCCTCTGATGAGTTAGCCCCTGCCAGACAGCGACCCTGGGCTGGACCCTCTCACATCTGACCTGCTGTCAATCTCTGAGTTACCGAGGACCTTTGATGGGTTCAGGGGGCCAAGTGGATCATCTGTGTGCATCAGGGATGCCCTAGCATGGAAGCCTTGCTAATATAGCCCCCTAGAAGGTCTAGGAAGTCCTTCCAGGGCTCTGGAATGCAGGAGTAATTCACTAAGTGATGCGCTGTGGGCCCAAGGGGTTTGATGCAACCTTATAAATTGCTACCAAGGAGCAGCGGTGTCTGCACTGAGAGAATACAGCTCAAAACTGCACTTTCCAGGCAGATGCTCATCCCAACCTTGTCACCTTCTCCATATTTGTGGGGGAACACAACCCTCCCTATTTAATACACTCCGTGAACACCACCAAACCGACGTTTACTGTCTTCTGCTGGCCTAACCAATAAACTCAACCCAGCACATGCTGATTCCAGCACAAACGGCCCACCTTTGCTCCCAGGGACTCTCGCCATACCAAACAAAACCCTGAGCCATCTCAGAGCTGAAAATGCGCTGAGCCTCTCCAAGTCCAGTGATCCCCAAGTCCTAGATATCTACTCCTCTAACTTATAACTGACAGATCACACCAAGGAGGTGGACTGCCCCAGTGAGACGGGGGTGGGTGGGTGGGGGACCCAGCACAGTGCTATTCGCTAGCAACGACGCACTGTCCTTGGGTCACCACCCAGCCCTCAGCTCAGATCTGCTTCCTTCTAGCCTCTTTCTTAGCTGTGTCGCAAACAAAAACGTGGCTTCCATTAGTCAAAGTGAGGCTGAAGTCCTCCAACATCTCAGCTGCAAAGAAAGGTTGGGTAATGTGGTACCTTCCAATTCCGTAGCCACAGACCTGGAACAAACGCATCTGGGAGTGAGCCAGCATCAAAATGCCTCAGTCAGTGTGGGATGGGTACTAGAGGAGACCCCTTGACAGTCAGGACCCAAACCCCACAGTCCCAGAGCTGCCTGGGGACTTCTTTCATAGGGTCCCCTCCGTCTGCTTTGGTAGGTGAATGCCACCAGGATGCAGGGGACTCCATTCCCTCCCCAACCTTCTAGCTCCATTGCCTGGAGCTGTGCCGGCTGAAAGGGCTGCACAGAAGCCCTATGGGAAACCGAGGGGTACAAGTGAGGATGGCATGCAGGGGACCAGGACCGAGACAAGGGTGGAATGTGGTGGAGCAGTAGCTGAGGGTCAGAAAAGGAAGTCAGTACTTACCCCAGCCAGGAGGGAGAGGGCCCAGTGGATCATGGTCAGTGGAAGTACTCGAAGACTAGACACAAGAAACACAGCAGAACACAGAGGTTAAAAAAGCTGCTGGTTAAAAATAAACCAATCGATAAAAATAAAAATGACAAGGACCCGTTTCCACATTTGCGCACTTTACAGAGGACACAGGGAGGGCCTCAGGTGGCATCTGCTCCTCTTAAAAGTCTTTTTAAAAAAAAAAATAAAGACCGAAAAAGACCCCTGCACACTGCGGGCCCAGACACGCTTTGGCAAGGGTGGAACGAGGGGGAGGCAGAGGTGCGCTGAAGAAGGTGGGCCAGGGCTGAGCTGCAGCAAGCTGGCCGGGCACGGCAGGAGGGCCCAGGAACAGGACAGCCCAGTCAGCTCCGCCGGGAACCTCTGCTCAACTCAGCTCCTGCTCACTGCGGCCAAGGCAACTGAAATCACCACCACCTCCAACTTTCTCCAAGAACCACACACGGGAGGGGAAAAAATATCGCAGGCCTTTCCAATGAAATCATTCCCACAAGCCCTGCCCACGCCCAGAGCTTCCTGGCTGGGGGCTGGGCCCTCCTCCCCCTACCTCCCTCCTGGGTGTGCTGGGAGAGGGGGCAGGCAGCAGTGTGCGACAGCAGCCCAGACTGAGGGCACATTCATGCCCTGGGCCCCTCACCTCCCCCAGGAATGTTTTGCTTCTCTTCACAAAGCACCTTTATTCTCCTCCTGCCTGAACCTGAAGTTGTTCAGTGTTCTGTGTGTTACTGTGTGGGGAGGTGGGGCTGGGGGCGAGGTGGCAAGAGAGAAGGGGAGACAGGAGAAAGAAGGGGGAGCTGACTCCAGGCCTTCAGGGTCACTGTTTACATTAGAGCACCCCACCCCCAGCCTCATTTTGCCCTGAGGTCCCTGGGGAAGGGCTGCAGTGAACCCAGCTTTTTCATATCCTGCAGGGAAGCGGGGGTGGGGGTTGGGATGGGGGGGTGCTGTCAAAAACTTTTCATAGTTTAATAAAACAAGTATTGTTCTACACTCGCTTTTCTTTTATTTCTCTCTCTCCTTTTTTTCCCCGCTCAAGCATTTTTATTTCACTTACTAAAATTTAATTGTTACATTAGGGGATCGAGTTCTCGATGCAGACTTGGGGCTGCCGGGCTGGCCCCGTCTGGGGGCGGCGGAGCCACACATGGGCCAGAGGATGAATGGAGCTCAGTCTGGGCTTGAGCAAACATTGGTAGAACTCAAGTGCCCAGGAGTCCCCTTTCACAGCCCTCCCTCCACACCCCAACTGAAAGGACACAGAAACTTTCTTTCCGAGGTGGCATACAAGCAACTCTTCCAAAGCAAGTTCCAACAAAGATGTATAAGTCTCAAAACCATAGGTTCCTTGATGGGACAGAGCCCCCTTTCAGCAACGGGCCTCCTACCCAGGCAGAACGAGGCTGCACGGAGGTGCGGGGAGCTGGGTGTCCTCCGCTCAGGGCCCATTAGTGAACCTAGAGGACGTGCTCAGAGTCACCAACACAATTCAGATTTGTCTGATGGTGAACGAGAAAAAAATCTCCCCCATCCACATAAGTCATAGTGGTGGGGGTAGGAGGTGGCAGCCTCCTGTGACTTCACCCCATGCAAGCCAAGTTCCTCCAACTTTGTTTCGTAGATAACATGTAAGTACAGTAGCTGTAAATGCATTTGCCACAGGAAGGAAGAGCCCACTGTGGGCAGCACACAGGCACCCCAGATAAAGACGCCAAATAGGCTGCAAGGGGTAAAGTAGGACTCCAGCAGCGACCTTGCCAAGGGAAAGGACCACAGAAAAGGTCAGGTTAGGAGACTGAAGGAAGGAGCATTCGGTGAGAAACCGTTTGCTGCTTCAGGTCTGTTTTCAGGATGAGTGGATAATCCATGTAGCACTCAGAGGCTCTAAGGGGAACTTGACTCCCAACTGATACCTACTGGGTTTCCACGGGCCTTACAGTCATCTTTTGCTTAACTCTGTAAGCACACCAGAAGGTCTCTACTCACAGCCTCCGGACATCAAAAATAGAAACAAAAAAGCAATCCTTGACTTTTTTTTTTTTAAAGGTCACAGGAGAGAGAAGAGGGAGAGAGGGAGAGAGAGGAGACCAGAGACAGATCCACAGCAACACATGAAACGGAGTCAGTGCAATCTGACCTCTTATGGTTCGAGCATAGCACTTGACTATGTAGAACCTCTATTCCCTAAGGCACATAGCACCACTTGAAAAATAAGAGCAGAAAGTGAACAAAAACAAAAACAAAAAGCTACACATCAGCAGACAGGAAAGTGAAGCTCTAAGAGCCAATTGTCCCTTCTCTTCTACCACACGCCCCCCTAAACTGAGAGACCCGCCCCGCCAAGTGATACACCAAGAAAGAGGCATGGGGTGGAGGTGACTGGTGCAGAGATTCCAGATGAGCAGGTGACTCAGTGACAAGACAGTTCCCTTTAGCACTAGGGACAGAAAGGCGTGAAGGGGGATGATTCTCCCGGTAACTGCCCCGGGGTTGGGAGATCTGGGGTGTAGGCCACAAACCAGAGAGCTCACGTGAGCTCAGGTCCCTCGGGAACTAAGCACTAGTTCCAGTAATATTTTAAGATACAAGCTCAGAAATAAAGAATGTCTAGCAAATCCTGCCGAGAGCAAGAAAGGTTCTGGGAGGGCATAAAGGTTACTGCGTGGAAGGCAGGCTCCTTTTTTTTTAATAGGACGCACCCAGCGGACACAGAACAAAAGCCAGGTGCTTGAGGCTCCAGTGCAAGGGGCTCCGTGCAAAGCAAGAAACCAGACATTTGTTTCCCAACCACACCATTTGGCATCCACACAGTAGGAGTCAACAAATGATTTGTCTTCAGTCCCGCCGACGCTGGCTACCATTTTTAGTTGTGACGGGAGGGACCCAGTAGGAGGGAAGGAACTGGAGCCACACAAGCAGCAGTGGGCTAGGAGATGGGTCCATTGTGACAGATGATGCCCACAGCCCGGGTGGCCTCTTTGGGGTGAGAGGGCAAAGTGCCACTGCAGGGGCCACACGCCACTTTGGGCATAGTGACCAGAAGCAACAAAAGCACACGGGCATGTAGGAAAGGGAGATGTCAGAAATAAGGGAACAGTAACAGAAACTGAAAAAGATGCAAGATGCAGCAGGCAGACAGCAGAAGGAAACTGCAGAGACTGTGATCTGGGATTCCCTTGGTTTCCAATTTGAACCACATTTTATGCTCTCTGCAGGGTAGTGAAGAAGAACAAGGTCTCGGTTTCAGCCCAGTAGGAGGAGGAGAAGGAGGAGCTGCTGGTAGAGCATCAGCTCTTAAGTCTTCCGAGTCAAACTCTGGGCCAACGCCAAACCCCAAAATAACTATGAAAGCAACTCTTCTAACTTGTAACCAGGACATGGCACCATAGCAAACAAGAGGGGCAGACCAAATCCAGAGGGGAGGGAAATCAACAGAGAGACATTGAAAGCTAACTCGAGAAAGATCCCTGCACCATTTTTCAATACGAGTCTTGCTTCATGGGAAAATGGGCACAATCCCCTCCATCCAGAACCCTCCTGAGCCCCCAGCCATGCTGAGCACCTTGCGTCAGAGTATTCTGAGGATCACTTCAGTACTTCATTTCTAGGGGACGCTCCTAGTCAAAGTTCTATGTCTCAGGCCCAGATGATAAAGCTCAAAGGAAAGAAGCAGGTGGGGGAGGTGGGCGGGAGGGATGAAGGTTCCTAAGGCCAAGTGGACACGAGCTCCAGAATCTTCCCTTTCACATACCCAATGACCCAGTCAATCTACAGAACTGACTTGCTGTGTGGTAGGGAAGAAAAGGATTCTCCTAATGGAATTTGTTTTTTTATTTTGAGAAACTGGATAATCAGAGAGACAAAAGTATAGGAGACTCTGAAACTGTGTCCTTGTCTCAAAGTCAAAGGACAAAGATGCCCACATCTTCTAGTCTTGCAGCCTCAACCACCCAAGAAAATGGCTAGGAAAGTCTCTGAGTGCAGCTCAGGAGGAACAATTTCTGAAATACAGAAAATGACCAGATGCCATCCAATTTTGAAATAACCCAGGACCCCGGTGTCAGACATGTGTGAAAGGGGCTGTAGAGCTGGACATCCCACCCATGCAGAGCAGTGATTGTCTGGCAGGACATGGGCTCTGACTGGTGTTCCAACTGGAGGTAACTTAATGTGACCAATGGCTTTCTGTTTAGACATTCTTTTTTAAAAAAAATTTTAAATTGCTTTACTTTGTTTTCTTTTTTTAAAAGATTTATTTATTTATGCATAAAAGAACTGGGGTACAGGCCAGAGGTGTGGGGTGGGGGTGAGAGGATTCACCAGAGACAGAGTGGAGAACAGAACATGCAGATTGACTGAAATACACTGCTGAGGGGAGCAGTGGGCAAGTCAGGAGAGGTCTGCTGCACCATGTGGGTATCTCCCTGGCCGGGCAGGTTGTATCTTAACCCCGTGCGCCACCAGGGAGGCCCTGTTTATACATTCTAAGGAAATAGAGGCCTCATCAGTTTCCTCACTGTAAGATGAACGATCAGCCCCCACAGATAGAAAGAGCAAGCCAGCCAAGGGAGATGTCACTAAGCCTTATGGTTGATGGTGTGGCTCCCACTTTGGGTGAGCAGAGAGGGAGCTACAAATGAAGGCAAAGCTGAAAATGACTGCTACTTAATTAAACATAACTAAAGATTTTCTCAGCATCCAATGAAGGTAGTATTTGATTTAGAAATGGGTTGTGGGGTTAAAGTTCCTTTCAAGGAGAAATCATGCTGTTTAAACACAGTAATTCAACGTCATGGACCAGCTCAAAAAGTTTCCAGCTATGAACACACCACATCCTGTGTGGGTTCTATGGAAGCTCCCAAGGTTTACATGCAAGGTGCTATGAGAAAATGCTTGGGTTCCAACATGGGAATCCCACCTCTTCCGGCCAAAGAAGCTGTGTGGTTGGAGTACACTAGCCTCAGGTAGAAGCTCTCATGGGATAGAGACTCAGGAAGAGGGGCTACTGGGAAGGTTCCTAAAGGGACACCACATGAGAGACCATTACACCCTTAATTTGGGACCATGAATACTGATCCAGAAAGTGTATGTCTGCAGGTAATGAACACAGAAATCTGTGAGCCAGTGATAAAAATGCCGGTGAAAAGCGTAGGGCAAAGCCCCCCTTCCTCAGACTCTGAACAGTGATTTTAAAAAAAAAAAGGTGAAATCTTAAGGTTGTTCTGGTGGCAACAGGCAGCACAGATGAGAGGGAAATGAAGGTCAGCAAAAGAGAACAGAGGTTGCCCTAATTATTGGGAGCGGCCCGGAGAAATCAGGAGCAGAAAGGAGGTTGACCTAGACAGAGAATCAATATTGCTTTTCTGTAAAGGGCTAGATGGTAAATATTTCAGGCTTTTGGGTCATCTGGTTTCTGCTGTAACTACTCAACTCTGCCACAGTAGTGAGAGCAACCAGAGTCCATACCTAAACTTCAGCATGTGCCAATATAATTTTATTTACAAAGCCAGCCACAGGCTGGTTTGGCCCCTAGGCAATAGTTCACCAAACTCTGACTGACATGAACTTTAAAGCTCCCTTTAAAGATCCTGAGAATCTCTCAAATCATGCAGATCTAAAGAAAAACAGCAGCAGCAATGGAAAGTGGAGATGGGTGACTAATTCAAAATGGTGAGGTAGGGGGAGGTGACAGCTGACCTTCAAGTTTCAAGTCAGGGTGAATGGACCTAGAGGGAGGGGTCAGAAGAGAAATCCAGTCTTGGAAGAAAAATAGTGAATTCTGCTTCAGACATAGAGTCCTAACACCCCAAGGCTGGACATGGCATCAGCAAGTTAGAAGCTGTGGAATTTTACTGTGATGAATAAAAATCTCCAGGGTCACAACACTGACATGTCAAGCCACCATCTTCCCTGCTCCCCAAACAGACAGAGGATGTGTGAGGTTGTGCAATATAGAGGACCAGAAGGCTCCCCTCCCTGGTGGCAAGCCCTGGCCTCTCACCTGGTAGAGGAATCTTTGGCTGAAGTGTTGCATGGCACCCTGGAGCTGATTGCGCTGTGACTGCCACTGCTCATAGTTGCGAACGTACTCAGCGGTGGGACGCTGCCAAGTGGTGGTCCGAGTGTTGTGGTCCACATAGTAAAACCTGCCTCGCGGGTCTGTGCGTTTCTCCCAGCTGAAAACAAGAAACTCGGAATGAATATAGCGACCACTCCATTCCCACCCTCAAATTCTAGAGAATTGTCAGGATGGCCAGCAAGGAGGGGCTGAGGGCAGGTAAACTATGGTGTTTGGCATGGGAGGTTGGCTGCTCCAGGGAGGGAAAGTCAAGCAGGCCAGTCAGGGAGGCTTCTGGGACTCAGGTGAAAACAGCAGACATTTGTGGTTGCCTGTGCAACAACCAATCCCTTCTTATCATTAACTCCTGATTTTCACTAAAGGGATCCATCTGATTCTGGGGAAGCTGACTCTACTCTCAATCCCAGAAGTGAACAGTGACTAATGGACCAAAGGGTATGTGATCTCTGCTGGACCAATCACAGTGCATCTCAGGACTTACCCTAAGAATTCTGGGAAATATGACTGAGAGTGCAGGCAGTCCTGAGAACCACTGACTGCCATCCTGGACCCAAATATAATATTAAGTTAACCCAGTAGATGGCAGGGCAAAAGAATGAAACAAAAGCCAGCCCCTTGGTGATAGTATTAGGCTACCAGATCAGGCTTCACTTGAAACTAGGATCTATGTCTAGAATTTCCAGTTACATGAGCCAGTAAATTCTCCTGGTTATTTAAGCCAATCTGCATCCCAATTTTTGTTATTTGCAACCAAAATTATCCTGTTCTAAGATGGCAGTAAAAACATGCTGCATGATCAAGAGAAGAAGAGTTGATTCAAATAACAGCAGGACTTCATATTATCTTCAGTGAGGAAGGGATCTTTCCCAAGTGGGTTCTAAAATACACATAGGGGGCCTCCCCGGTGGCACAGTGGTTGAGCGCTGGGTTGCGAAGCTGCCCGCAGCCTCTGCGGCGCCGGTTTGATCCCCAGCTGCTCCCCGGCCACCAGAGGAGGGTCCCACATGGCGCGCAGACCTCTCCTGCCGCCCGCTACTCCCCTCAGCAGTGTACTTCGGTCCTTCTGCCTGCTCTGCTCCCTGTTCTGGCTCTGGTGAATTCTCTCACCCTCCCGCACTTCTGACTGTACCCAGTGCATGTATAAACAAAACAAACAAACAAACAAATAAATAAAACATGCCTCTATTAAAAAATAAATAAATAAATAAAATACACAGAACAAAGTCTCCCTAAAAATGGCCTCTCCTCATGCAGTCCCTAGTCCCCGAAGTGTGTCTCAAGTTGCCTTCAGGACCTGGGGTCACTTTGGAATCAACTCAACACCACAGCTCCCTGATGAACCTGGGTCCTTCCTAGTTTCTGTCAGTTCTCCAGCCTGGATGAAACCACACCATCATTCCAAACTCTTCCCTCCCTGCTGACGTCAGTAAACCACCCAGCCTGAGGGCTTCTTTTCTGTTGTCTCCCTGTCCTTGACTTTCCATTTCTATGTCCAAATATCCCTGAATTAATCTCCCCATTCCTACCAACTACCAGGGGGCAACTGGACCAGGCCGACCCCTCATATCATATTCCTAGTCAAAACCTTCAACTGACTGCCCACAGTCCTTGAGTTAAATAAAACCACTTAGTGAGTAGTAAAGGATCACAATCATCTTGAACCATCCCAATCTGTCTCCTAATGCCTCTCAACTAGTGATTTTTATTTCTTTACATTATCAAAGAAATCATATATAGCATTAAAACACAAAGAGTACAATGGGCATATAAAGTAGTGTCTCCTGCCGTACCTCTCCGCTGCTGATTTCGGAAACCCAGAAGCAACTAATTGCAACTCGACTGCTTTTTCTACTGTGTATAGACCTATTTCTGAATAACATGCTTGTTCCATTATGTCTTGCTTTCTATCATACTAGAGATTACTCAGTGAATTTCCACTATCAAAGATGAGGATTTATTGTATTTCATCCATTCTCTCCTCCCAATATAGAAAATCATCATTAAATCAATATTCAGAGTTTGGGTGATGATTTGCAGAGTATTACAAGATATTTCTTTACTCATACAACATTTTTTTAAGCTTTACTTTTCTTAAATATAGAATTGCTAAATCTACCATGTTTGGGGTTATCACCCCAAAAGGAAACGGGATGGCCCAGGTGTGTGTCCTCACTGCACACTTAAAAAAAAAAACTTAGTGGGCCTCCCTGGTGGCACAGCGGTTGAGCGCTGGGTTGCGAAGCTGCCCGCAGCCTCTGCGGCGCCGGTTCGATCCCCGGCTGCTCCCCGGCCACCGGAGGAGGGTCCCACATGGCGCACAGACCTCTCCTGCCGCCCGCTGCTCCCCTCAGCAGTGTGCTTCGGTCCTTCTGCCTGCTCTGCTCCCCGCTCTGGCTCTGGTGAATTCTCTCACCCTCCCGCGCTTCTGACTGTACCCAGTGCTTGTATAAACAAACAAACAAGTAAATAAAAAAATAAATAAATAAAAACATGCCTCTATAAAAAAAAAAAACAAAACTTAGAATAAGACCCAACTGCAGGCACACATAGAAAGGTTAATAAAAGTCTTATCTGCAAAGGGAAATGAAAAGAGGGGTAATTCAGGGAGAGACTGCATGAGGGGTAATTCAGGGAGAGAATGGTGAATGTGTTCTACCAGTAACGCTGTCTGGGTTGGGCCCCCAAGAACACACTAAAGGCAGGCAAAAAAACAAAAACAAAAAAAACAAAAGCAAAAATAAGAAAGCACAGGCCCATATATTTGGTTATATACCAAGGCAGGCTGCTTAACTCCACCCTTAGTTCCCAGCAACCCCCACTTCAGGAAGTCATAAATTGTGCAGATTCGTGGCATGATGGGATTTGCAATCTTTGGTGCCTAGGATCTCTTTGGCATGGAAGTGGGGGTAGAGTCCATAAAACATCAGTGTGTAGAGTTTATAATGACATACTGTTCTCCCAACAATGTGAGTATAACTTTAACCATTTCTACACATTTATCATTTTTCTCCTTAGTAATAATTTTAGTCAAAGTTTACATTAATTTGATATTTCTATGGTTTCATGAGGTTTCGTAGGGCTAGTGATTTTCCAGACAGATCATCTGACATTCTTTTACTTCACACTCATCTGTTCTCATCATTTATTTATGTCTCTTATTAACAGTATATAGGAGGAGGCGGAGCAACATGGCGGTGAGGAGACGCTGCGAGTAAGATCTCCCATTAAAAAAAGTTAATAGGGAGGAAAAGCGGCAGGTCCCAGTGAGAACTGAGACAGGGAAGATAAACGGACGACTCCAGCAAACTGCCCGAAGAAGAAAGTTGCCATAAAAGAGGACGAGAAGGGAGGGAAGCGCAGAACCCTGCTCCCCTCCCCCGCCCACAGAGGCGGCACTCTCCGACCGGCAGAGACGAGGGAAACAACAAACCAAAACGCCCAACAAGAAAAACGGATGCAGCAAGTGGGACTGTGAGTGGAAAGGAACTATTTCAGCCACCACACCCCGTGAACGGGAGCTGAGGCGAACCCTGCAGGATCCGCCGCGGAGGTGAGCTCCAGGCGCCAGTAAAGAGAGCACCGCCCACCAGGAGGAGCCCAGCACCAGCACACAGCCCCAGCCGCCCGGTAGCTTGCGCGAAAGCGGCGCTCGGATTGCAGCTGCCCAGGGCCCTGCGCCTGCGACCTAGGCTTGCGGGGAGACGGCGGAGGCCCTCCCTGAGTGAGCAGGAACAAGGTGCCCAGGCAGGGGAGCGGGATTCAAAAGGCGCCATTCCCGCGCCACTGATCTGGGCTATAGCCCGCGTCCTGGAACTGAGGGCTTTGGAACTGAGACCCGGGCGGAGGCCCTCCCTGAGTGAGCAGGAACAAGGCGCCCAGGCAGGGGAGCGAGATTCAAAAGGCGCCTTTCCCGCGCCACTGATCTGGGCTACAGCCCGCGTCCTGGAACTGAGGGCTTTGGAACTGAGACCCGGGCGGAGGCCCTCCCTGAGTGAGCAGGAACAAGGCGCCCAGGCAGGGGAGCGGGATTCAAAAGGCGCCATTCCCGCGCCACTGATCTGGGCTACAGCCCGCGTCCTGGAACTGAGGGCTATGGAACTGAGACCCGGGGCACGAAATTAGGGGCGTGGGTTCCCCACGACGGTGGGGCACAAGGCAGACACAGCACCCCAAAGCCGTTGAGGTGTACCCTACCATCCCCGCTCTGCTCCCTGTCCCACGGGTGGAAAATCAGCTCCCCAAGGCTCTAGGAGAGATCTCTGGTGCCACCTAGCGACTTGACCCCAGCACAGGCTACTGAAGGAGCTAGTGGCCAGCTGGGGAGTTAGCCCACACCGGGCCCCTCTGAACAAGTAGTCTGAGCCCACAGGGAGAGCGAGCACCCACAGCCGGGGCAGACCAGGCGCGCAGAATAGTGTGCCTGAGACCAGAAGCGCAGGGAGTGTGTCCTACATCACCATTTTAGAACAGGGACATTTCTTCAGTAAAGACTACCTGCAGAAGGCTTCCTCAGGAGCCAGAGGTGAGCGGGGGAAGTTCGCCCACGCCAGACCCCCTCTGGCCTGCAGTCCAAGCCCAGAGGGGAGCAGGAACCCACCGCCGGGGCAGACCAGGCGCACAGGGGAGTGTGTCCCCACATCGGCATTTTAGAACAGGGACCTTTCTCCAGTAAAGGCTGCTTGAAACTGACAGATGACTCCTGGAAGAACCAGAGGGGAACAGAGAAGCCCACCCAAGATGCCGGCAAGTCCCAACAACACAGTGTCCCAACGCATACGGCAAATTAGAAAACAGACAGTAGGGAGGAGAAGAACCACACGCAACCTAGCAACTCTCCAGAGAAAAAGCACACCACAAAAAGAAAGCCAGCCCCAGATTGCAACGACAATAACTTGGAAGAATTTCTGAGCCTTCCAGAAAGAGAATTTAAAATTGCCGTGATTAAAAAACTGACAGAAGTCATAAAGGAAAACAATGATAAGGGAAAAATAATCAACGATCAGAAGAATGCAATTGAGTCCCTAGAGAGGGAAAACAATGGTCAGAAGAAAGAAATTGAGTCCCTAAAGAGGGAAGTAAAAGAAATGCAGGAGATCAAAGAATTAATGGAAGAACTAAAGA